CGCTTGCTTCACAAGGTGGCAGCAGAGGGCCAGTAAGACGCTGTTGCTAAGCCCATGTTAGGTTGCAGTTACTCTTTGGACTTTTGAATTAAGTTGATTAAATGGTGCACAATAGTTTCAAAAAAGGGATTGCCATTGGATAGTCACTCTGTCAAATTGAATAAATTGTCCACAATAGTTTCAAAGGGGGTTATCATTGGAGAAACACTTTGGTCAATATTTGAGAAACTAAAAAAAAAATAAAAGTTTGGGAAATTTCTTCTTGACCACCAGATGGGGCTGTAGGCTGATTTACCAAGATGTGCTGTTGCTCATTAGGAGAGGGGTGGTTGGGTCTCCAAGGTATTTAATCCTATTCAATGGAAGATAAATTAATCAAACAAGTACAACAGTTCAAAGGGTTATTTGCAGTCCTTGTTATGCTTAAAATTTTCCTAGCATAGAAATAAGATGGATAAACTGTATGCTTTGTGAGGGAAAGGAAATTGCTTTTGTTCACATAGCTTACTTGCTGGAACTGTGATTTATAGCCCCAATAAAACTGCCCAGAGAAGGTTTTATAGCCTGCATTGTAAATGGCAGGAGGCCTTGTGGCAAAGCTGGCTAAGATAGAGCAAAACACATCCTTTGTCTTTACTCCAGGACACAAGCTAGTTTGGTAAATTAGTTTTTGTAGAGTTAGCTCAGGGAGAGATGAAATAAAGGAAGCTGCTTGTCTGTCCCTTGAAAGATGGGAAGTTTGCTTTCTCTCGTTATTTAAAATGAGTCTTTGAAATAGCAGGAAGAGAAATTGAGCAGAGAAGAGGTGGTGGGTGGGATGTGGGGAACTCCAGCCCCTCCCACCATGTAAACAGCATGTAAAGAGTTCCGATGCTCACAAAGAGAGATGATGGGAATGCAGGTTTAGATTAACATTGCATATTCACTCCTGGCCTCAATATTATGTTGCTTTATCACAAATCCAAAATTAACAAATTTATTCTCATGGGTTAGGATGCATCTTTTACTTTTTTGTATCTTGTACAGAGGTGGATTCATAAACTGTACAGATGCAGAGAGATAACTCAACAAGACGTCTATAACAAAGAACACTTATTGGTTCATCAGGTATCCTCATATGTTTGTGACAAAGTTCTTCTTTTATGACCAATCCTTTGTATATCTGCCCTGTAGTAAAAGATGGTTATCTCCTAACCCATCTCGTAGCAATAGAAAGAAGGTGCCATGAGTTAGAGAGACTATCCAATTCCCATAGACTGACTGGGACAGCACAATATTGCTAAGTAAACCATTACTGCCACCAATGTATCTGTTCTGTTTCCCTGGATTTTCCAGATTTTGCACATTGTAATCTTAAATCAGAGGTTTAAGAAAGCAGTTGTTACTTCTGACTTTTAAGTAGACTCGGTACCGGAAAGTAATCTCAGCTAACTTCTTTTAAAAGGACCAAAAATCATTTCTCTCTCTAAAGAAAGGGGAGGAGTTAGAGGGAGTCTATTTTTTGCTGCATGCTCAATTTTCATGTTGATTGCAAACATCTGCTGTCTGCCTGGCATGCAGCTGACAGTCTGTGAAAGCAGACTGGAGTGGTTTCACAATGAAAACCTACCATATTAAGATAGTATAATATTTTGCATGTATAATAAAAATGTGCAAGTGAGCAGTTAATTTGGTAGTTAATGGTTGAGGTTCTCAGAAGCAATTCCTGTACCTTCAAAGCAATTCCTGTACAGACAATGCACAAGCATAATAACTGTTCTTATAATTCCTGAAGTCCTAAAGCAATTCAAAGGTTTTTGACCAGGCCAATCTCTTCACTGTTATCTACTGCTTTTCTCAAATATTCTATTTGTTTTAATGTTTTTCCAAAAATACATACAGTATGTGTAAAAGAAGCAAAATACAGAATGTTCATAGAAAAAAAAAATCCCAAGGTATTTGGTCTATCTATATCCTCTATTAAGCAAGTGATAGTCCTCATTTAACAATCACAAAGTTATTACGGTCATTATGACCTGACTTAATTTTATGATTATTTCTATGCCTGAAATGCAATCACATGACTGTGAGGTCAGCAGTCATAAGTTCAAGGATAGGTGTTGTAAGTAACTTAGTTGAGGTCCACTGTAAAGCAACTGGTTAAGTGACTGGTTATTAACCAAGGATTACCTGTATTGTCCATAGTTAGAATCAAAATGTTATTCAATAGGTGGCTTTTATTTATGTTTAGAGGAAAGAAGATGTATAATTGCTTAGAATTTCTAGAGTTTCAGTTAGCAGTCAATCACCTTGATATAGAATTATAAACTATATACAGAGTTCCCAGTGTTCCTAATGACAAAAGCAGGACAATTTTAAAAACAAAAATAATTGTAACATTGTTGTGCATAGTAGACAGCAACCCAATATTGGTGCTATGTACAATGTTCTCTTCACAAAGGAGTCTTCCAATTCCCAGAATAGCAATGTCTGGTATTCTTTTTGTGTGGATTTAATATATGAACAGAGAAATATGCACAATGAAAACTTACTGATGCAATAGTAGATGAACAACTTTTTATGCAGTTCTAATTTATGTCGTACAAACTAGGGATTCTGCAAAAAATGTCTGGGATTTATTGAATACAATTAGCTTTGTTCCATATAATTTTTTTTCATAAGAACTGTCTCACATTTATGTATTTTGTTGCATGCTCTTAATTGAAGTAATTAATTTACATGCGTTACATGTACAGTATATCATGCTTTTCTGTCAAGCAAGCATATGTGATTCTCCTCTTCGACCTTCATGATATTGGAGTGAAAGTGTGATAGTTTTTAGGCCAGAGAAATAGGAATTCAGTTATATGAATAGACTTCAGTGTTCAAAAAGAGTTGAATGAAATCCAGTTTGGTTCAGCTCTAGGAAAATAAGATGCTTTGGATCATTCTATTTACCGTAAATCCCATATAGGATAAACTTTGTGCCAGTCATGAAAAACAAGTAAATTAAACCTTGCTCTATTAAAAGCAACTTATGGTGAAACAGTTTTCAATGAAAAAAGAGGAAGTAATAAACATGCAGAAAATAACTGAACTATATAATTGTACTAATTATGTTTTTGAATAAGTTGTGGGATTCAAGAGATATTCATGCAGAGGATGACTGAAGCAAGCTGTCCTTCCTTTTTGTCTTTTTTCTTTTTAAAAGATCAAAGGCAATTGTTTAAGAGCTGGATGTTATCTATTTGCAAATCAATATCCTGTTCCTTTCCATTAAAGTATTATATTTTAATTACCTATGGGTTGTTTTAGTAGGTGTGAGTCTTCTTTGTGTCCATTAAAATGATTTGTGTTGAAAAGGGAAGTATTATTTATTATTTATAGTATTATTTAGAGCCTCCAAAATTGGTGCTTCACTCCTTGTGTTCTCATTATTTCGGAGCCTCCCCAAAGCTCTTCTGTTGAGTCACTTAACTTCCAACTTGTTTGAAGTGGGAGAGAAAAGAATGGTTGTTAATAATAGAACTATAAAGTTCCTGACCAGCAGTAATTATTACTTTGTCCTGTTCCATGGATGTTTAACTCTCCTTTCTCCTTTCTGAGCACTTCAGCACTATTAAACAAAGTGTTTACAGTTCACAATAGTTCATTTAGTGATCGTTCAAAGTTACAACAGCACTGAAAAAAGTGACATGAGCATTTTTCATAGTTATGACCTTTGAATCCCATGATCATGTGATCAGAATTCAGATGCTTGGCAGCTAGTTCATACTTATTGTCAACTCATAAAATGTTTATATGGTCTTTTTAGAATTGTCAACAGAATGGGAGGGGGGAGCAGTGCAGCAGCTTGCAAAACCGAAACTGCATTCCATATATGTTTTCAAAGATAATAACAAGGTCACCAAAGTTTCTGCTGTGCAAAATTCTAACTGGAGAGCATGGTTGATGACTCTTGGCTATGGATGTGTCTAATTGGAGAATATGAATTACAATACACCCAGGCAATGCCAGACCTTTTAACTCCCAATAAATCTTTTTGAAGTTTTGGAACTTTGGCTCGAAATTCATGATTTAAATGGGGTTAAGTGCTGGAATCCTGATACTTATGACCTTTGTTGTGTCCCAAAGGCATGGGGCCACCTTTTGCGACTTTTTCACAAACCAAGTCAATGGGGAAACAGATTCACTTAATAATCAGTTACTAACTGATCAACTGCATCGACTTGTTTAACAACTGTTGACAACAGGAAAATAGGGCAAAACTCACTTAACAAATGTCTAAACAATAGCATTTTGGGGGTCTATTGTAGTCGTAAGTCAATTACTACCTCTAATATTGGGTAGTGGCAATTTTTATATTGATCTCCTCCATTGTTCATTTGGAGGAATTCTGGAAGCCTTATCCAGTTTTGGACAAGATGGTAATCATGGCCACACACTGAGAAATGTTTAGGAGATTTTGAACTCTAAATAATCTCTGCATAGGAAAAATAACAACAGCTTAACTGATGAAATGAAAATAGGTTGAATAATAAATGTTTTAATAAATATTAATATAAGCACAACTACTAAGCTGTCTATGCTTTTAGTATTATTGTCTTAATAGTAATTTCCCAAAATATATTACACAAAAAATTATGCCATCTATTAAATAAAAAGATGGGTGACATTCCAATTAGTAAAAAAATATATTCAATATTTTAAGCAAGGTAATAATTGATAACATTTCTTTTTGTAAAATATAATTGTAGGTCTTTTATTGATAAGATTTAGACTCAAGCATCAAAATTATTTAAAAATTTTATATTAACCTTTAGAACCTTGTGACATTTCCTTCAATTAATGGAATTCGTTTTTAAAAAAAACCTTCTGTAGAACAAACATTATGACAATTCATTCTGTAAACAATGAATGGCATTCAGTTGTGCAGAAACAGCCAAAGTGGAACTTGGACTTGTGTTGGGAAGGGTTATTTTATTCTTGATAGAAAGTAACCTGAACTTTTTTATTCCTAGAAAAGCTGATTGCTTATCAAAGAGAGTTTCATGCTTTGAAGGAGCGCCTTCGCATAGCTGAGCACAGAACCCTGCAACGTTCTTCTGAATTAAATACCATCTTGGAGCAGTTCAGACAGGCCGTGGCAGAAACAAATGGAAGTAAGGATGCATTGAGCAGCGTTTCAGGTACAGATGAATGGATTTGAAGATTACTGGGCTTGCTATTCTCACTGGGTCTCTCCTGCTTTCCATGAGTTACAGAATACAGAATCCTTCTTCTTACATTATTATTTCTGGCTTTCATATGCAATTGAACAGAAAATACTAGTTTTATTTATTACCCAACTTTATTACTATTGCCTTTGCTTTATCTCTCTGTTCCAGGAGTTCTGAAGTTGCGGTATAATTTGAGGATTAATTTTACATGGATATGAATAACTTCTTTTGGGAGTTGTTGGTTCTGCAATGAAATTTAGCAAATATTAATGTTAGGCATATATTCACTAAACCTATTCAGCCTCTTCTCCCATTCATACATACCTGCACACCTGCTTTTTACTAGGCTCTCTGCTTCTTTCTGCATCGTAAACAAGGGAGATCTGTGACTTATTTACTTGGTGATCAGAGCAACAGCAGTTATTCTGCTAGTAAACTTCTTAGGTTCATTGGTTGTATTTAAAGAAGGTAGTATTGCTCAAAGGCTTAGGTCTCATCCATTTCTTTTTCCCTTTCCAACCAGAAAATTTTGGGAGGTATGACCTCCAGAAACCCAAAGTCCACTCTATGATAGCAAAGCGATACAAAAAACTCTAACCTTTGCAACTATCCAGTGGTTGGCTTGTTTGGTTGTTTTGGTTTTGCAGCCCAGGCTCCAAGAGAGAGGATAGAAGCAGAGAAGAAAAACAATAGAATGCGCCAAAGAGTGGAGGAGGAACAAGGGCAAACTTTCAAAAACCTGACTGCTTTGACAGATGAATTCTAAACATCTGGCCACCTTAAATGGAAATCCATTCTTAAAGTAGTTCAATAATGTGATTTATGAGAGGTTACTTCTATTTCTTTTGCACCATTGGACTATCTAATTAGAAGGTTTTTATTATTTGGTGCTCTAGTCCAGCAGTCGCCAACGGGTGGGCCCCAAGAAAATTTTGGTGGGCCGCAGAGAAATGTCACCCCCAGAGCACCCCCCAAAGCAATTAATCCAGGCTGCGCAGAAACACAAGGCTGTGCTGCCCACATGGCCCGTGGGAACCTTACCCGGCAAACTTGCCTGCTAAATTGCTATTTTTCTTTTTTCCGACCATCATCTGTTCGGCTCTGCCAGGAGATTTAGATTAGTGTTTAGATCTTAAGATTTAGAGCATAAAAGCAGAGCCAAACCTTTCTTAGGACTGAAGGTTCTATTATTCAGTGCAGACTCACAGCAAGCAAATTTTATGTGACAGACTCAGGTAGGCAATGGCAGATAGATAGATCACTGAATGATTCTGTGAGCAACTCAATCTGCCTGCCTGCTTTGCCTGGTTTGGGGTAAAAGGTGCTCTTTTTTAAAACAAAAAATTCAATGTTTACATACATGGTATGTTGTGAGTTAATTTTGTGAATTTGCTTGCAAGCAAATTTTATGTGACAGCCTGAACTAGTTGATGGCAGATAGATACATCTCTGAATGAATCTGTGATTCTCCCATGAGATGTTCAGAGCATCCAGTAGTGGGAGGTGCTTCAGTTTCTGCATGTCTAGGCTGGGCTTAATTTGTTATACCCTCGTCTTGGTTTTTTCTACATTCGAGGCTATTCTTACAGTTAAATTGTTGGCTTAACCCTCACAGCCCAATCAACCCAGCGGCACAACAGCGAGCACCTAGGCCTGTGTCTGCCTGTGCAGGGAAGCTGTTGAAGGCCTCTATCCTTATCAATCTGGGCCTTTAGGTGGTCTCAATTTGGCTGTTTGGTTTATCAGCACGTAACATCGTGCCACTTAATTAATATTCATATACATATTGCCATATATATATATATATAATAATAATTAATTTTCTCTTCAGTATAATATTTTAATATCAATACAATATTATTACTGAGATATGACTCATTATAGATAGGTATTATTCAAAAAAAAAAAGAGGAAAGGGGGCAATAAAAACATCATCAGGGCAACCGGTCTGTCCTCAGATCAGGCCCCTGGGCATGCCAACCGCCTTCACAGTATTGCATTGTATAACAAGCATACTGCAATTCCAACTTCAATCGAAATGGCAGACAGTAGCAGCTCTCAGACCTCATCCTTGAAGGTCAAAGCCAAATCTCATCACAAACCTAAGCAGGCTAAAGGGAATTCTAAAACTTCAGAAAGGGATGCCATCAGGTGCCAGTCATCAACAGAGGCTGCCTCTTCAAAGAGCCACACAGACTTACCATCACCACTGATGCCAGCCTGTTGGGATGGGGAGCGCATGTTCAATCGCTCAACCCAAGGCCGCTGGTCCGCCATAGAACAGTCGTGCAGCATAAACTGGCTGGAGCTTCGAGCAGTACACCTGGCTCTCCGCAGCTTCCTTCCACAGGTACTCAATCAGCACATACTAATATTGACTGACAACGTAACAGCCAAAGCTCACATAAACAAACGGGGGGGCACACAGTCAAAACAACTCACGCGAAAAGCAGAGTGCTTGTGTCGTTGGGCGGAGAGCAACCTACTTTCTATCAGAGCAGAGCACATTTCAGGTCTGTCGAATACACAGGCAGACTGGCTGAGCAGGGCCACGATCGATCAATCGGAGTGGCGCCTCCATCCGTCCCTGTTTCAAGAAGCGGTCAGGACATTTGGACAGCCGGTGGTGGACCTGTTCGCTTCCCCCCTCAACGCTCAGCTCCCGAGATTTTTTTTCAGGTACCCCTCGCAAGGAGCAGAGAACTTCAACTCGCTCCACTGTCATTGGCCCCCAAGACTTCTGTATGCATTCCCGCCACTTCCACTGGTTCCCAAGGTCATCCAGAAACTGCTAGATGAGAGGGCGGAACTACTTCTAGTAGCTCCTTACTGGCCCAGACGGCTGTGGTTTGCAGACCTCCGCAGTCTCTCCGTATCAACACCATGGAGAATTCCGCCAGCCAGGGTTTCATTAACCCAGGGACCCCTTCAACATCCGGATCCTCAATGGTTGCACCTGACTGTCTGGAGGTTGAGCGGACTTGTCTGAAGATGGTGTACCGAGTCTCGAATTGATCCCATCTCTCCATCTGTGGCTCAAATCCTAGAGTTCTTGCAAGAGGGACTTGACAAGGGATTATCACCTAATACGTTGAAAAGACAGGTGACGACCTTGGCATCGGTTCTCACTTGTGAAGGTCTGCTTTCTCTTTCCCATCATCCACGCATATGGAGTTTCCTTTGAGGAGCCACAAATTTATGCCCTCCAGTGGTAAACCGTTATCCCACCTGGGACCTTAACAAGGTCTTCGTCGCAGTCACCCTTCAAACCCTTGAAATCGTCAAGTCTCCAATTTCTGACGTATAAAGTAGTTTTCCTTGTAGCGATCACTTCTGCTTGTTGTATTTCAGAGATTGCAGCTTTGTCTATCAGACAAGATCTTTGTGTTTTCCATTCTGACCGGGTGGTCCTTCGTCCTGATCCTACATTTATACCCAAAATTAACTCGGTCTTTCATAGGGCACAAGAGCTGATACTTCCTAATATTTGTCCCAGACCATCCCAAGGGTTGGAACTACAATGGCATAGGCTTGATGTGAGGCGAGCATTGCAAATATATATCAACCGCACAATGGCTTTCAGAAAAACGGAGGCCTTATTTGTGTCTTTTCAGCCCAACACTCAGGGATGCAAGGTCTCACCTTCTACAATAGGCCGTTTCTTTCTGTTTGCATCCGCTGAGGCCGCCTTTGGCAGAAGAGTTCTGCAACGGATCCACAGGGACCAGGAGGAGATTCCAGGCCAGACGGAGTCCCTCCCGTAGGACAGGCCAAGCTTTGGTATGTCCCACTACTGGATGCTCTGAACAGCTCATGGGAGAAAGGACATTGGTCCTTACCTGACACGCCCATTCTCTTTGAGCTGTGAAGAGCATCCAGCTCCATCCCTTTTTTTCCATCTGGTGGGGTCCTGTTTCGGCCAATGAGTTGTTAGGGCATTGAGGACGAGGGCGGTTATTTCTCTCGTCTTCGCCAAAACTGGGGAATGCTGGGGAGGAGTACCGTGGAGGAGGAGGAGCGTTCCACAAATTAAGCCTAGCCTAGACATGCTGAGACTGAAGCACCTCCCACTACTGGATGCTCATCACAGCTCAAAGAGAACGGGCGTGTCAGGTAAGTACCAATGTCCTTTCTATGAGCAACTCAATCTGCCTGCCTGCTTTGCCTGATTTGGGGGAAAAGATGCTCTTTTTTTAATTAAAAAAATTCAATATTTATATAAATATTTATAATATTTATATACAAGCCATGCTCATTCAGTCTCATGACCACCAAGCCACACCCACAAAATAGGCCACACCCACAGAACCAGTCAGTGGTCGCTGGGATTTAAAATTATGAGTTTGGTGGTCCCTGAGGTCCAGAAGGTTGGCGACCCCTGCTCTAGTCTATATCTTATATTTGATCCATTGCACTAAGCCATAATGTAAATTTTATTAAGAGACTAGACAATCTATGAAATGTTGGGTCACTGTTTGTCAGTATTTACTTACCTAAGGAGACAAACAGAATGATCGGGAGGGGGAGCGAGAGAGGACAAAAAAACAGGGTAAGTGAGAGTAACTTCCAACTTTCGGCCAGTTTCCCTATTGACTTTGCTTGTGGGAAGTTGTCAGGGTGTGTCAGAAATCAAAATCCTGTGACAGTGGCTGACCACAGCAGCATTCTAGTAGTATAATTTGGCAAATAAAAATGGTCTGGTGTGTGAAGATCTTTGAAATTTCAGCTACATGGGAGTAAGCGATCCTGGATTTTCTATGCTTTCTTTGACTTAGTGGGTTTGAAGTACTTTGATTAAAAAATCATTCCCCTACAATGAACTGTTTTGTCTAATTGGATGTTATAAACAAACAGGAGAGTTTTAGTGGTATATAGATATGCAGCTCTTTGGATGTTAAAAGGAAACTGCTCTGAAAAAGATGTGCTGTGCTTGCTGCCTGCCATCTGTCAGCTGCTCCTTTTAAAAATGTCCCTTTTCCTGGGCTTGCTTGATAGATGCATAGACCCAGAAAGATATTCATTTGAATAAAGAAGACATTAAAGAGGTTTGAAGAGTATACAAAGATCTTGTTGCAATCTGCCTAACTCAAATGCATATTTTACTTTTGACTTGTTGGAATTACCTCCGAACCTAGGAAAAAATGAAACCTTTTCAAAGAGGCGCCAGAAGTGAATATACCCATGACTCTCATGCAAACATAACCCTTGTGTTTGCTTTTAGATGAAACATTAAAGTTGTTAAATGAACTGACAAACAGAAGATCTCTTCAAGTGCCAAATATATATTACCACTTGCCTCATTTGTTGAAAAATGAAGGAAGCCTTCGTCCTTCTGTACATGTTGGCTTCGGACGAACAGGAGGTAAGCTAGCAAAAGCAATACCAGTGATAGCGTGATGCATTTAAAGATGTACTTAAAACTGTTGTAGCTAAAGTCAGTATGACTTCTGGGAAGCAGAAAAATGAAATTTTATTTTCTTTGTTGTATATCTCTTAGAATTCAAATTGAATTAATTTTTTAAAAAGTTTGTTTTCAACCTTTTTGCTTATTGTTTTATACAGATCCTACTGTTTTGATGCTAAGGTATAAGAAAAACAATGGATTTGAAACAGCATGTATTTGCCTTAATTAAAAAATAACAATGCATGACATTTTGAAATCATATTTTTGCAAATATGGATGCTGTGCAGCTTTCATAAACCTTTAAAAGTAAAATAAATATTTGGATTAGTTTATCTTTTTTATTTTTCCCAACTATTTCAACAGAATCAGTAGGTTATGTCATATTTATCCTGATCATCTTCTTATTCAATTATTGATTTGTCTTTGCTTAAATAATGTGAACAATTGACTCCTGAGTAATTAGAATGGGCATTGAACATATTGTAGGAAAACATGCACATTATATTAGACTTCAGACATCATAGTAAATGTATATTTTCTATTCAGAAATTATAATCCTAAATATCAGGAGTGGGATTCAATTTTTTTAACAACCGGTTCTGTGGGTGTGGCTTAGTTGGTGGGTGTGGCTTGGTGGTCATGTGACTGCATAGGCATGGCCAACTCGACATCACTCACATCCTCACTTGGCCTCTCATGACAGTGGGGATGCTGCAATGATTGTAAGTGTGAAAAACAGTCATAAGTCATTTTTTTCAGTGCCATTGTAACTTTGAATGGTCACTAAATGAACTGTTGTAAATCAAGGATTACCTGTACAAAGATACAAAAAGCTTCTTTGCTTGCAAAAAGCTGCCCTAAATACCAATCATTAGATTAAAAATACCTGCAAGCCAGAGTTACAAATCAGGCAGGGTGCCAGAGCACCTTGAGGAATTAAAATAGTTAAAATGCAATGATAACTATCAGCAGCCAACTCTTGCTCATAAAGTGAAACCCATTAGCAGAGAGATCATTTAAGCTCTCCAGAAAGAGCACACCCAGGAAAAGCAATCCTTAGATCCATTTGCACCACTTAAAAATACCAGTTGGTCTCACTCATCTTGCAAGATATCCTAAGGAAATCATCCAGATTTAAGGAAAGGTCACATGCCCCCTAGAAAGGCAGTAAAAAAATCAGTGCCAAGATTGCATCCTGCCTCTTGGAATTACATCCCAAAAGGACAATGCCAGATACCACTAAAGCAGTGAAAGAAGACCCCCTCCCCAGATAGAAAAAGAAACCATGAGGCAGGAAAAAATTCAAACACAATACAAATAATTAAATCACAACAGTAGCTTTTGCTTTTTAAACCAATTACCAGAACAAATAGACACAGGAACTAGCCAGATTTCTCAAACTAGTTTCTTTTCAGGAACAGAGATTAATCTTTTCCTTCCAAACGAAGCTGAATAGGGAAAATTATTCCATCAATAAACACAGGATTAAATGTCACCGAGCGCAGAATTAAACTTCATGAAAAAACAGTTTTAGACCAAAACTCAGAAAGGGTATGTAAACTCACATTTGAATGTCAATCTTTCTAGCTAGCCAAGAAGAAGTATTTCCAGGGGAGTATTTCCTCCCAACAGCTGTGTAAAAAGCTTAAAACAACCCTTCCCCTTTAAGAAAGTATCAAGAAAAAAAACCTTCTTTGGAAACAGTAAGTCTAGGCATACTGCCAAGAATGTTATAAGGGTGGAAAAAAACAAAAGGAGATTTCTTCTAACTACTGGTTCTCCGAACTGCTTAGAAAGTTAACAAGGGGGTCTATAGAATCGCTCACAACTGGTAGAATCCCACCCCTGCTAAACATATAATGTGCCTGAGAAAAATTATGGCTGCTTGATTAGAATTTTGGATGTTTGCAAGGCAGTATTTTCCCATGTATAATGTTTATATATTTACATGTAATCCTTGTTTAGTGACCTGGCTGAAATAAGCTCATAAGCATAGTTGCAATTTCACTTAGTTATTGGTTTGTTTAGCCACTAAGTTGCTGGTCCCAATGGTAGTTGCTAAATAAGGACTACCAGTATTTAAAAGATTTATAAGGCCATCACTCTATCAACTAGGTATTCTAAAACAGCATTCGCCAACTGGTGGGCCATGGAAAATTTTTGGTGGGCCGCAGAAGAAATGGCCCCCAAAAGCAATTAATCTGGACTGCGCAGTTCTCTCGCCTCCCAGCTCTTTGAGGGACCCCAGAATCAGGTCCCTGAGATGCACACACCAACCAGCTCCCCCACACAGTGGTGGTGACGGCAACAACAGTTCCCACCCCCAGTGCCCACTGTTAGCTCTCCCCATTAGTTCTCTAGCTTTGAATTGCTCCCACCTCTCTTTCCTTCCCCCTCCTGCGCCCACATGGAGATGTGTGGAGCTCTCCACTCTTCCAGCCCTCGCTGCCTCTCCCAACATTGAAGCCTCAGAGATGCAGGCAAAGCTGCCGCAGCAGTAGCATCCTGAGTTGTCTTAGCATGCTCGGTTAGTTAAGAATTGCCCTACCCAGAGAAGGAGGTGCTGGAGGAGGAGGAGGAGGAGGAGGAGGAGGAGGAGGAGGAGGAGGCAGTAGTGGGGAAGCAAGCAACTCAGGGCGCTACCTCTGTGGCGGCTTTGCCTGTGTTTCCAAGGCTCTGATGTTGGGAGAGGCAGGAAGGGGTGGAAAAGTGGAGAGCTGCGCATGGCTCCATCTCCCTTTCCTTTCCTGCCTACACATAGGCGCGGGGGGGAGGAAAGAAAGAGAGACAGGAGCAATTTAAAGCTAGAGAACTAACGGGGAGAGCTGACAGCGGGCCCTGGAGGCGGGGACTGCCACCGCCATGTGTGGGAGCATGCATCTCAGGGATCTGAGCTGGGAGGCGTGGGAACTGCAAGTGTTGGTCTATACAGAAGCCTGATGATGGCAGATGAGATTCTGCCGAAACGTTGCTACAACTTTAAAAGCACAACTACAATGACATGGGAAAATACCCGAACAAAGCTGAATGCCATACATGTAAGTACCCGCGAAAACTTAAGAAAACACACACACACACACACACACACACACACACACACACGTATATATACATATATACATTACATACATCCATATACATCCATATACTTATATACACACACACACACACACACGTGTGTGTGTGTGTGTGTGTGTGTGTGTGTGTGTGTGTTCGGGTCTTTTCCCGTGTAACATTAAGAGTATCTTGGAGACGTTTCGGCGAGGTCCCACTCCCCATCCTCAGGCTGGTGCTTTAGGCTTCGTGCCAGTGCAAGCAGTCACTCATTCCAAAGGGCAGGGGCAGGAATAGAGAAGGCCCACTTCCTGGATCCTATTAGGTGACATTGTTTCAGAGAGAGAAACTGGAGTTGTGCCCATTCTATGCAATCTTGTTTTGTCAGTATGATACTAGGTTGCTACGCTTATACTATCAATTTTGTACACTTGGATGTGATGTTTTTTTAATCTAATTTTGTATGGCTTATTTTTATAGAACAATCAGCTTTAATGAAAAATTGCATTTTGCAGGCTATACACACTTTTGAAGCAACAAGTTTTCTTTGTTTTAATGCATGTTAGGCATGAAAGGCACAAGATCGCTCATTAAGATTTATAGCAATCTATGTGAATGCATGCAGATTGTTTTAAAGATAGGTTAAGGATATCTATATTTCTCACGTGCTTGCTGGATAACAAGTTAATTTTAAAATCTTTCTCTAGTAGACTGGGCATTACAAAATAATTGTCCCATCCAGTAAAATTTAGATCTAAATGTTTTATATTAAAATATGTTTTATTTTATGGAATCTTATATTTTATAGATGTTAGATTTAGGCTTGCATTTAAATATTTAAATGAACTTTCTAGGAAGAAAAGTATAGAAAGAAAAATCAACGAATCATGGGTAATTTCAGGCCACCAACTTCTGCCTAATTTCTTAGACATTCTGTATAATTTTCTACATTTGCCATGCAAAAAAATTCACATGGAGCATGGGTACTAAGCCGGCCAATCATTACAAAATTTCAGCATGCACTTGTAAGTGTGAAAGCTTGATTATGTGCCATCAAGTCATTATTGACTGCTAGCGACCAAATAGATATATTTTCTTCCTGACAATCTGTCCCTAACTGTTGTTCCAAAGCATGCTACTCTCCTTGAATTATGAATTGTAGAAGGAAGGATAACTTTTAATTAGATGATGTGAAGAATAAATAGGATTGCGATACTAATAAATTGTTTAACTGACAATGGATTGTGCAAGTGACTAACCTTTTCTAGTGAGAGAATTGCACTTGGTCTTGAAAGACATATAGAAAATGGACGTTGGAACAAAACTGATCTTGGTTTAATTTAATTTTGTCTTCCTTTTAACACATTAAAATTGACAAAACAGTAAGAATTTTTGGTGGAGTTCTGGGGTCACATATCTAAAGGTACACAATTCAAAACATGCATCTGCACCTCTGCCTCTATCTTTGCAGGGCATTGCATGTATTTGGAATATTACAAGAACACTAAGTACTCTTACAAAATGGTTGTCATGGAGGACAAGACTAGCTTTAAAAACCTGTAAATTTACGAGGATGTTTCATTCTGACACATAAACATGAAGGATGTTCCTCACTGTTACCTCATGTTCTTCTGACTGAACTTTTTGCCATGCCACCTGTTTTAATTTTTTTTCTAATTTAAATTTCTGAGAAAGTCAGATGGGACATTGCAGAAGAAGCAAAGGAGACATCTGCAGAGACTGTAATTCTCATAAATGCTTTTTTTTTTGGATGCTCAGATTTAAAATTTGAAGACCTAGAAGTAAAATTCCAGCTTCAAGCTCCTGAAGAATATTCTTTTCTCTGGCCAAGGAGAGACACTAAAGCATTGAGGTGTTAACTGCTATTTCTTAATGAAAGTATCATTTTTAAATGTTCTTTTTATGCAGCCTGTTTTCAGAATACCTACTGGAAATGCTTGGGGCTAAATATTAAGAGTGCAGAAAACAAAGCAGAATAACCTAAAAGACTATCAATAGTATATTTAAAAACTACAAAATAAGCCATTTCTTTTGTGTTCAAGGAAACTGATTTCTCTATTTATTTTTAGTTTCTATAGTAATGGGGATTCCAACTGTCAAGAGAAAAGTAAAATCTTACCTTACTGAAACTCTTCATTCGCTGATTGATAAGCTGTCGCCTGAGGAAAAATTGGATTGTGTTATGATTGTATTCATAGGAGAGGTAATTCAAATATTATTTAACTTATATAGCTGTCCATTTCACATACATTATTCTGGGAAGCTTACAATGAAATAGATTAAAAAAACAAAACACATAAAATAAAATGCATACTGTAGCAGCTGGGCATCATAAAATAACTGTTAACGAAACCAAGAGATGAGCTCTGTCACAATTAAGAGGTCCCATGTCCCAACACAAGACTAAGTTTTTAGGGTCATGATAAAGGCCAGCAAGATCAGGGTCTAACCTAATCTCAGGTAGAATGGTGTCCACAGGATGATTGCCACAACAGAAATGGATCTCTTCCTGGGCTCTACCAGCTAACACTCCTTAGCATGCTTCTCCTTCCAGACTTGGAGGAAAAATAGAAACAATTGGTGAGGGATGATCCCATAAGTAGTCTGGACTCAAGCCATGAGAAACTGTAAAGGTAACTATCAGTGTCTAGTTAACATAGATACTCCGCTTCTTTGAGCAGAAGCAGGGAATCCAGGAGAACCTCCAGATTGTGCACCAGGTCTGTATTCACCTCACCCAGAACCAAAGATGGAAGATTCCCCAAACCAGAAGGTTCAAAAACACAAAGTCATTTGACCTTGCCTGTTTATCTGAAGACTATTGAGCCCCATACAGATTCTGGTAACTTCCAGGCACTGAGAGAGAACCTCCATAGCATCATAGCACCAAGTGGAGATGTAAAGCTGAGTATTATCAGCATACTGGTGATACCTTACCTCAAAGCTTCACCTTGTGGGTCCTATAAATATTTTTTTTAAAAAATCAAAATCAAAAGATATATTTTCAGTCTGTTCTACGGTTTATCTCTTAGATGTAATGTGGGGTTGGGTGGGAGGCTTGGTAGAAGGCAGATTAAGATTTTACCTGTAGATCTTGGATTATCTGAACCAGATAGAAAAATATCTTGTTTCCATTTCATATACAATGGATACTTTAGATTAGAGAAAGTAAAGTAATCCAGTTAGTTCAAAGGGCCTTATTTCACAGATAAGAGTGCACAGATCATATCCTAAGAACTGTCTGTTTTTGCATGGTGTCCAAACACCGTAATGTTTTTCTTTGCAGCTGCATATTGCAGAGGAGATGTGCTTGAAAGAATTGAGATAACAGGCCATTAGTATCAAATCTTCATTAGGTGCAGCTCTTTGAGGCATAAGATTTGTAGGAGTTCATTAAAAAGAAAAAGAAAACAACCTCAGATCTGTTTCTGTTTCTGTATACAGTAAGGCTTTTAATGGCAGCCAGATGAATTCTAGACAAATTTATTGCTTTTTGGTGTGGAATGAATTGGTAAGGAAGAGAGTCATAACTGTCATAAGGGAAATTGCTGAAGCAAATTTCATTAAAATATACATGTGCTTCTTTGTGAAAGGATTTGAATTGCACAAAATGAGTACTGTTGAGTGTTTTACTGTTAAGGGAAAATATATTCTGTTTGTTAAAGGCAGTCAGTTTAGTAAAAACAAGGCTGGACTGTTATAATAATTTCTGTTAGTTTAATATTGGAAGCTACTAATGGCATTGAGCCTGGAGCAGCACTGAACTTAATTCAGGAATTATGTAGCTCGTGCAGTCTGCTTCTGAACTACATATAAAAAAGGTTAGAGTTCTACATTTGTAAGATTAAGAGGTTAGCAACCCTGTGTCTACTTCTAAAGTGTTTTTTCCCTTTGTGTTTGTGAAACAACATTTTGATGAGGTTTGGGTTTTGGCTGGGAGAGAAGGGGCAGGAAAATTCATTTTGGTCTGCTTTTTTCTGGATCTAGCTCATGCCTTTTATGGAAACTTATAGAGTTGTTGCTAGAAGTTTTGAACTTTTCTGGCTGGACTAAGAAACCAAAATTATATCAAATGAATTGTGAACTAAAACATTTGCTGTTTATGAATTCCTTAGAACAGTGTTTCTCAACACAGGCTGGGGAATGCTGAGAACTGAAGTCTATACTTTAAGAAGTATGGACTCCAGAAGTCACTAAGGTTGAGAAACACTCAACTGCCTTAGAACAAATACATTGAATTGTTGGTTTTCAAAACTCTTTTAATTAAGCCAGTTTCTGTATATGGAGAGAGATATTTTAGTTGGAGTAGATAAAAGTTTTATAGGATACATATAATTAAGATTATATCCACCTGGCATAATTTTCATTATTTTTGTGCCCCTGAAATCTTACAAATCAACCCAAAGTTGATTTTTCTAGCATTTTTACTAGAACAAGCAGGATATACAATCACCAAATAGTTCTTTCTGAAATTACTCTGAGGTTCAAAAGATGGTTTCTGAAAAGACATTCTATTTCATCCACTGCTGGCATCATAGAGTACAAAACTCCATTGCTCCATGCAATAGAAAAAGAAATAACCAACCATCAGTTAGTTTCCCTGTTTATATTTTCAGTATATGCTCAATGCATGTTAACCAATCTTGTAAGAAGGGAGAGCTGGTCTTCTGTTTCTTTTTTAAAATCTAAGCTAGCTGAGATTCTGAAAAGATAACTTAATGGCATTATTACTACTTAATATAGCTACTTAAAGATGCATGGACTTCAAGTCTCAGAATTTCACACCCAACCTTTCTGGCTGTGGAATTCTGGGAGTTGAAGTTCATGAATTATAAAGTTGCCAAGATTGAAAAAAGATATTTTTCATAGACGTTCCAGCCATGATTCCTGATTGCAGTGTAGAACTTCTGGGTCTACATGATGGTGGAGAAAGGAATAGTTATCCAGACTGGATGAGGCAATGATATGCTATTTATGTATAACAAAGAAATCATGCTGTGCTGATTTTTTTCCAGAGAGGTAACAAAGCTAACTAGAAGGATTTTAATTGGGCTGCCTCGATTCATAACATAATTAGAATGCAGTAGATGCATTGGTTGTGTGCAGGAACTGGGAGGCACAATTCACTGATAAGCCCCATGATTGCAATTCCCATTTCCCACTCCAGTTTCAGGATAGAGCCAGAGATAAGCCATCTCATAATCAAAGTAAGCAGATATCATGGGGAAGGACAATTCAGAACTTGAAGCAACAGATATTGTAGCATGTGGAAAGGTCCTGCTCTTTTTTCAAAGCTTTTCTGGGTTCAGATTCAGGTACTGTGCCTAAAATGTATGTGCCTATTGTGTATTTGTGAATAAAGGACCTATATTTAAATAGCTGCTTTTCTCAATCAAACATATGAATCAGAGGAAAAAATCTTTTCCCAACTCTTCTGCTTTTGATTTTCCCAACAAAAACTGCTTTAAATAGCTGTGTCATTCACAATAGAGGTAAAGCATTGGTATTATATTACCATTCAGGTGTTGTTTGACCTCATGACTCTAACACCGGCATTGCTTAATTAAAAGTAAACATGCTGAATTTAGCATGCTCAAGTTGAATTGAACTGAATGTTCTGCTGGCCATTATCTGTGACAAGAAAACAAACCTTTTGTATGGCTTTTGTTAATGAATGAATACATTTGGGGCATTAATGTCATGTTAGCCTACTTGAAGAGCAAAAATGGGTATACGAACTATGCAATTGTCAAACCAATTATCCATACTATGTGTAAAGATGTTGTTTCCTTTTTTTTCTAGACAGAACTTGACTATGTAAATGGTGTTGTGGCAAACCTTGAAAAAGAGTAAGTTTAATTCATACAAATTACCACTGAAATATTTTGGATTATCCACTTTTTAGTACACAGCTTAGAATCCAAAAGTGACACTTCTAAATAGGTTTGTGTAATATATTAAATTGTTACATAATACATTATAGTTGAATAGCTACACTGAACATTGAGATAACTTTCCTTCTAAAACAGCAAATAGTATTATGATATAAGATCCTGAAATGGATACATCCACATGAAATAAAGATTGCATATGTACATTAAAGGTTTTATGTTAGTGGTAAAATATAAAAGACTGTCTAGGTGCTTAAGAAGTTAATATTGGTTGGTTCTGTAAAATACACATTTATCTCTGTAGACTAATCCATTGATAATTGCAAATGGTTTGAGACAATATGCTGCACTGATTTTGTAGATGTAGAATTTTCAATCTCAGAAGCTAACAAAGACTTGGTAAACACAGAAGCCTCCTCAGTCAAATGTGGCCCTAGGTGACAAAACTACAGTTTTACGTGTAGGTTGAAATCAGCCTCCAATTTATTAACTTTTCACAGCTGAATACAAAATTGAACTCAAGTCCAAATTGATCACAGATGTCTGAAGTACTTGAATATAAAATAACAAAGCTGACTTTTCTGACCCCAGGTTTTCGACAGAAATTCGTTCTGGTTTAGTGGAAATAATAGCTCCTCCTGCATTTTACTATCCTGACATGAAAAATCTAAAAGAGACATTTGGAGATTCAAAAGAAAGAGTCAGGTAAGGACTTTTTTTTTCTTGCAGGTGTGAAACTACTTTAGCCATCACAGTAGATCTTAACTGAGATAGTCTAGGATACTGTTAACTTACATATTGCATTTGAGAATACAGGGTAAACTAGGCCCAGAATCAGACTGCAAATTCTATTGCATGTTTTATATCCAGTAGTCTCTCCTAATTTGGTGCCTTTTAGATATGCAGGAACTAGTTTTCACATTCCTCAACCATTGGCCATGTTGGTTATAGAATGTGCAACTGCCCATATACAGCAGTTGAGGAAAGACAGCTTACATTATTCTTACTACTCCTCTTACTATTACATTATTCTTCAGGAATATTCATTTTTAAACATGACCTCAGACATGAGTCTTGGGGAAAGGAAGGGTTTTTCAATCTAAATCTTATGTTTTAGCTTTCTCATGATAATGTCAGTTTTGCTATTGTAGCCTTCTTTTGATCCACAAATGCTTAGCTTGGCACTGGATCATTGGATTTGGAACTGTTTTGAGCTTCTACTGTGGTATTTAGTGACTGAGCAGATAGGCAGAAGTATAGTTTGGATTAAATAATGGCTAGAAAAAGATTCTATAATGACTATTATTTCTGTAATCCTTGCACTACAAGTACACGTTTCTTCGGTAATGTCTGCTAGGACTTGGGACAGAACCAAGGTGCTACTAATTAGGACATGGGAGTATTATTTTGTGATATTAGATATACATCAAATCAAAATAAACATGACACAGGAAAACTTTGAACAGAACAAGATTTTTGAAGGACAACATCCAAATTTGCCTTTCCACTGACAAAGGAAACTGAAGACCAACAAAGACTCCTATGCTAGAGGAAGGAGTGTAGGAAACAACTTGTCACCGAAACAATTGTGGAGAGTCCCCCAATGCAGCAGAGTAGATGTTCCTGAGCAAAAGAATGTATGAAACTGAATAAGGAAAGGACATTCAAAAGGAGCTTTTGTCCACTGATAAACTTCCTGAGATGGGCCTCTTCAGAGGTTTCAGTGAAGTGGTTGGATGATGAGATTTGGGGATCTATCAGGGTTTGGGAGGGAATCAGAGATTACGTGTTCATTAATTACTAAAATAATAACTAAAACCATTGTTTATGTTTCAAGCATAAGGTTTTCAAGCTATAATATAATATATAATATGTATAAGGTTTCAAGCATAAGGTTTTCAAGTCTGCCTGCTCATGTGCAAAATAACATTAAACATTTAATTTTAGATGGAGGACAAAGCAGAATCTGGATTACTGTTTTCTTATGATGTATGCACAGAAAAAAGGTGTATACTACATTCAGGTAAATTGTTTTTATATTTTGAATGTAGAAATAAATATTCAAAATATTTTTTAAATGTGTAATAGTGAACATGGCATAGTGAGTATTCCATAACACAGCTATTTATCAAACGGTGTTTTAGATCTAATAAAGTTTATCGTAATACCAATTATTTGTAATATATTATTTTACAAAAATATAAAATATAATATATAAGATTAGCTATTACAGTGAAATATTTCAATAAAACAATGAAAAATAGTGGAGGATTAAAATGTTTCTTTTGCAGTAGAATTTAAAATTTTAATTTCAAATTAAAACTGCCTTTTCATAATTATTTGAAAATTTAAAAGGCTTGTAGGATTCTTAAAAATGAAGCACATGCAGTATTTTTAACTTCATTAGCATCTGTTATTGTCAAAGTTTCGTTTTGTAAATTTGGTTCAGCCTACCAGGCATGAGTGTGCAATAAGGCCAATAATTAGTAATTAAGCAAAACTGATTTTTGGAATTAGACACAAATTGGTATAGTTAAAGTATAATGAGCACCTCTTTTTGCCTGCTCTGATTTGCCTTTGAATCCAAACTGTTGCATAATTGTGTAAAGTGGGTCCTGGCATGTAAACGTGCCTTGTTTAGTGATTATCTTGATTAGCAACCATTTGCAAGTACAATAGTAACAAAAATATTCAAAATTTGTACATGTGACATCAATGCACACCCAAATAAGAGTGACACTGATGTAGTTGTACAAGAACTGTTTCTGAATGACATGGCATTAATCAGTTATCTTCATAGCCTCTCTCTCTCTCTCTCCCTCCTTCCTTCCCTCCCTCCCTCTCCTGACTGTTGGAATGGAGCATGGTTGCTAAATGAGAAACTGGATGTATTGTCTGTATGTAAAGCACAGACTTGTATTGAAAAAAGAGAGACACTATTTCATCACAGCTTTTAGTATTCCTCTGTTTGGGATTTTTGAAAGATGTGCAAGCAGTCTCATTATAAAAGAAACAAAAAATAATGATCTGGTCCCACAAGTTTGCATTATATTGGTGCCTTTGGTCTAAGTCTGCAGATGCCCCTGTGCACATAAATGAGAAATCAGGTCTCTCCATAGGTTTCTTCCTTTTCTTTGCCCAGAATACCTTTGAGTTCACCCATGCTTAAAAACATCTGAGGAAAGGAGTAGAATAGAACAACATTCTGGGAATCAGCACTTTCCTATGTTCTGACTCATTTTAAAAAGAAGGAAGGAAATTTTAAAAAGCTTTTCTTAAAATAATGAATGGCTTCTGAATAGGATTCTACATCATGTTTAGGGTTGGGTGGAGCAGTTGCTGAGCACTTGTATGTGGAAATTTCTATGGGTCATTTCCAGCTTAATTTTCACCCATCAGACTTCCAGTCAATCTCTCTATTGAGAGCAAATACACACATCACTCAGTTCAGCAAACAAAAATAACCTTTATTAAACATCAACAAATATTTTAAAAAATGGGCAGAAAGGGACAAAAGTTGCCAAAAGAATAGAGACAAGAGGACACAAGCGACAGGCAACAATTTAGATTTATATAGCTGCCTAAATATCAAAAGGCACAAGAGCCTTCCACAGCCACTGGAAACCGTACTATGGCTAATGATCATGGACAGTCCTAAAGGATGTGACCTTTTGTTATTCCATCTTTAAACCTTTTGTGTATATAAGACATGAAGTGATCCAGCCCTTATTCTCAACATGAAAGAAACAGTTTTGTAAAGTGGAATGATGCATCCAACAGCATCTGCATTTTTGGAGAGGAATTGTGTGTATGTGTTTGGCACTATTTGAGTATCTTCTGTGAAGTGAGAATTGTGGCCTAGGATAATTTGGGGAGTTGCCTTTACCATTAGCAGCTTGTTATTACTATAATAACTACGTTATTGTACGTAGATGTATTATTACGGTCAAGATGTCGACAGATACTTGGCACACCCTGCCCTGTTTTTCTTTCTGATTAAATACATGGATTAAGAGCATCAACCTTTGAGTGCCTCCTTAAAATTAAGTCTCATTTAGCGTAGCAGGACTTAATTCATTTTCTTTCGAAGTCTCTATAGCATTGCATTAAATTATCACAATAAAATAAAATAAAAAATCAAGGCTGCTAAGTGTAAGGCTTGCTAAGGCTTTTGTAGCAATTGGCTGTTTATCCCGGTTGCCAATTATGCATATATTATTGTTGTGTTTGTTATGTGGTGTTTTTAATTGCTGTTAACTGCTCAGAATCATGGATTTGGAATGGCCAGACAAAAATCAAGATAATAAATAATAGAGAAACTACCTGTGGAAGAAAGGCCCCCTCCTTTCTTGTACCCAACTTTGGCATAAATCCAGATAGTCCTCTACTTACAACCATAATTGAACCCAAAATTTCTGTTACTAAATGAAACATATATTAAGTGAATTTTGCCCCATCCTGTGGCTTTTCTTGTCACAATTGTTAAGTGAATCACTGCAGTTATTAATTTAGTAACCCAGATGTTAAGTGAGTGACTACAGGGATGCTGCCGTGTTGTAAGTGTGAAAAACAGTCTTACCTCCCTTTTTTCAGCATCATTGTAACTTCAAATGGTTACTAAATAACTGTTGTAATTCAAGGATTACCTGTATGTTCTTTCTTCTGATGGGTCATATGACATTTCCTTCATCACACCCACAGCCTATTAAGAGAGACAGCCATAACAGTATTAGTGTCAAGGTAGCATTTCCCCCTTATTATTTTATACTCTCCAAGGGCAATCCTTGTCTGCTTTTTCCTTGGGAGAAATTCAGATGATTATACTAGTTTGAAGTAGACGCTACAGAGACAGAATAAGGATTAGCAGTAGGAATAGCAAATTTCTCATCAGGATAGGTTTCTGCTGATTCAGGGGTGGGCATTTCAAGTCATCGGTTGGGAAAGGCCCAATGATGGCTCGATTTACACGTATGCTTGAACCTGAAAAAGTTAGTTCGATGCCGCCCCCATACAACTTCATTCCTCATTTCATTTCTTCTCTTTTGCTTTCTTGCTTGCTTGTGCTTGGCTCCCTTAGCTTGAGGATGACATCGTTGTCAAGCAGAATTATTTCAGCACAATAAAAAATTTTGCACTTCAGTTGTCATCAGAAGACTGGATGATTCTAGAATTCTCTCAGCTGGGATTTATTGGTAAGAAAAAAAAACCTCTTACATAATTTTTAAAAAAGGAGAAGGATAGAAAAGCACATCAAAATCCGGGTAACCAATTTAACAGCCCCCCCCCCCACATACAAAAACAACTTTACAGTTCCTTTTGTAATATGAAAATATTAGTTGTAAAATTTCCTGTATCGTTCCTTACTAGATTATGTGTAGGTAGCACCTAACATGTAACAAAACCCATGTGAAAGAAAATGAAATAATGTTGTAATTATGTCTGCAGTTCTTAAACACATTTTTAAAAATTGGAAAATAAGTCTGAAATGGACTTCAGTCATCTAAATAAGTTCATTTATAGATTGACAAGTGAAAAACTATGTTTTAAAAGTTTCTTAATGTTTTATTTCTGCCTCTATCAAGGCCAGCAATTCAATATTTGCTCCTGAATCCATATTTGAAGAGCGATTCTACTTTCATCATATGTTAGACTGATACAAGTTTTTGAAGATACTGGGTTTCTTTAAAAAAAGACTATGACTTCTCTAATTCTTCACTAGTAGCATTATAATTTCTTTAAATTGAATAATGGAAACAAACGCCTAGTCTCCCATTCGGTAGAGGGGAGGGAGGAGTAATGACAAAAGTGGTGTTGCACCAAGGTGATGCAAACTTTCCCTTTTATGAGTGTTGGCAGAACTTTGGTCAAAATGGTATCTTGCTGCATTTGGCATTTGACAAAAAGGTGATTGCTGTAGGTGCCTTTGCTTTGACATCTGCTGAAGTGAATGCAACAGTTCTGGTGAATTGAGGAAGACCACGGGTGGGATTCAACCGGTGTTACTACTGGTTCAGTGACTACATTTTGCTGCGTGCATGTGTAAAAAAAAACATCAACTATGCCGCCCGGACAGCTGAAAAACGCTGCGTGCGGGTGCACAGCATTTGAAAGGCCTCTTTTTTCCTGCTTTTTCAACCTCAACTGTGCCACGGAAAGCAGCTGAGGTTGAAAAAGCAGGAAATAAAGGACAGGAAAGAGCCTGGGCGGGTGGGTGGGCCAAACAGCAGCAAACACAGAACCGTTCGGTGTCTGCTGCTCTTCAGAGCTACCGGTTCTATAGAATGGGACAGAACCGGTAGCATCCCACCCCTGGAGGACCACCTTCACCCAAGAAACCCTGCACAGACAGGGAATGCCTTAATCAGAATGCAAGACATATCATATGAATGTTCTGCAAGAAAAGTGTACATAAAACAGAAAATATAGATGATGGACACCCATTTTTATTTCTAAAGGGACAGTTTAGAGCAGGAGTGTCAAACTCGCAGCATCCCGGTAGCGTCAGGTGATGTATCTTGACTTTTCTCCCCTTTGCTAACCCGGGGTGGGCATGGCCAGCTTGTGACGCATCTGCAGGAAGTAAGTTTGACACCCCTGGTTTAGAGCATTAATTGCTACTAAATGAGAAGGTACAGAGAAATGAAATTTAACACATATTATTTTTAGTTTTATGTCTGAAAGTGAGTTCATCTTGATGCCCTTGTGTCTTCAGCCTTTCTTTGAACCTATTACCCTAAATTATTCTGCAAATGTATTTTATCTGATAGTGGTACATTGTATAAAAAGAACAACTTGCAATATTTTGCTGGTTCAGATTCTAAACATCAGATTTTTGGGTTCATACTCTTTAATAGAACACCATCCATTTAAAGCTCAAAATGCTAAATTATTGTTGATATGTGTTATTATTTACAGGTAAAATGTTCCAGTCTCCAGATATTACACTCATTGTAGAGTTCATACTTATGTTTTATAAAGAGAAACCAATTGACTGGCTCTTGGATCACATTCTTTGGGTGAAAGTGTGCAATCCGGAGAAAGATGCAGTAAGTTGATTTGAGAGTTTAATGTTTCTATGTGGCATGATTGTAAGAAAATATGTTAAGAAACCTAGTAATAGTTTTATAGCTCTTTTCTAAATTATAGCTTCTTTTAGCTAAACAACGTTTAGTGTATTATGAAATGTTTAAGAAGATATGATTAACGATCCAGACATTACCAGAAAGAAGCTGTGCAAAGCTATCAGATGGAGCATTTTGAAAAGCATGATTAATATAACTGAGGCACCCATCTTGAAATGTTAAAGAAGTATATTTTCTAGAAGGTTTGGCAAGACAGTTTCAAAAACTGTCTTTGACTGTGTGCATGTGCACACACAGACAGCAATTCTGAGACTGTCAGAAAAACAAGAGAGCTCTGTGTGCAAGTATCTGTAGTCACAACTATGAATATTTTGAAGCAATCATGCCAAACTTTGCAGACGACCTAAAGCAAAGAGAGAATGCTTTACTTATCCTAGCATCCTATATTTTCCAAAACACCCCTTTGCACAGCTCTACTATACATACACTGCAGAGGCCAAGTACTATAAAGACTGCATTATATCCTAAAAATATTTCAACTTCTCCAACTGTCCCCCAGCAGATATCATGCTTTCTACAGGTGGCCAGCAGAGAACATCCTACCTAAAATTTGAACACCCATGGCCTGCTGTCTGGCAGGCCAAACAGATTGCTGGGGGAGGAGAGGCAGGGAATCTACCTGAATCTACTCAGGGATAAACATGCATTTGTGTGAACGTATTCCACCCCCTTTTTCAAAATGTAGACTTCCTTACTACAACCATGTTTCCTGGCCTATAGATTGAAAGTTGCAACTTTTGGAGCATTTAACCTGTGTTGAGGATGCCCAATTAATAGAATACTTTGCCTAGGGCAGAATCTATAGGAATAGGGGACGATGGTCCTTTCGTGACAAGTCATAAAAAGGCCATCGCTTCCCACCCCGATGTAACAGAAAAACTAGTCATTTGTTCTTATTCAGAGACTGGCCCAATTCTCATAATTGCAATAATAACCATGCTTTGCATGGGCTGGGTGATTCTCTTGAAAATGGTGTAGACTTGTCCCTACCCTCCAGGCAAAATAGACTTCTTTCATCTGTCTTTCATAGACAGGAAGAAATGTTGTTTGAAAAACTACTTCTTCATAGTGCTCCTCTTGTTGTGTCTTTAACAAGGCTGATAGATTAAAATTGACCTTGTGTGGAACTGTAGTTAGCTGCTACTGATACTGTTGAGGTGAGGGAAGGACAGATAATTCTTCTCGGCCTGATTCTCTTTGCCAGCCTTTGGGGATGTGCTGCTTCCCTTCTTCCTTCCCTTGCCTGCACTTTTGTAGGAAAGTGCTGTCTTGTGAGCAGTGGTAGCAAGGGGCTAGAAGCATCCAGCAGTCATTTTCCTGAAAATTCCATTTCTGCAAAATCAAGCCAGAATTCTTTTTAAATGATCCAGGAAGCAATTCAGACAAAGAAGCTGAAAGTAGAGGTAAAGGTAATTTAGAAACCCCACAGAACTTCTTCATTGCAAAGAGTAAAAGAGTTTCTTCTGCAATGTGAGGCATGCACATATAAGGGATGCAATTGCCCTTATGTTAAACTAAAGTGCTAGAGACTTCCATTAAATTCACACTATATTTTCTTAGGCGTAGTACCAAAGTGATTTGCCATTGTCCTTCTATTGGGTTGCTTTTTAACCCAAAGTAACTATGCTCAACTGTCAAACATAGGCAGTGTGGTGAAGGCATGGAAACCAGGGAGTGGCTTTTGAATGGCTGCAAAGTTCACGTGCAGAAATGTTGGCTTGGCTAGAACCCATGTCTTATAATGAATTTTATTTCTTGGCATTTGAAATGAAATGATTTATCTGATGATAGAGAAATGAAATGTGGAAGCAAATCATATACAAATATAACAGTATATCAATATGAGAAAATCAATGAAAGGAAAAAGACAACAAAGGACAAAAGTAACTTATACTAAAATCAGAAATATGAATTGCTTTGTCCAATTATAGTTTTCAAACCAAATCATAACAAGAAGAATGATGACTAATACATTATTAGGCATGACACTTTTATTTTTTTTATTTTAAGGGCATTTCAAATAACAGATATTGCAGATTACAAAAGTAAAAGCTGCAGTTGGAAAATATATTTTTCTCAGAATTGGCATTTAGAGATCCTAGCAGCTATGAGAGATGAATGTTCATTACTTCCTTTATAATTACTAAAGTTCTAATGACTGAATTTTTGTAGTGGTGGGAATATGTTATTTTATTCTGAATGAAATCATGTCTGCTGAATAAAAACAAGATAAGAATGCAATAAATCAAGGGTCTCCAACCATGGCAACTTTAAGACTTGTGGACTTCAACTCCCAGAGTTAGCAAAGTTGGCTGAGTAACTCTGGGAGTACAAGTCCACAAGTCTTAAAGTTGCCAAGGTTGGAGACTCCTGCAATAAATGATCCAGATAGCCAGTTTTTAAGCCATGTATAATGATGATGTGTCTTATGCTAAAAGTTTTTTCCACCATTTTGTTAAAGAAACATTGTGATCGCCAGAAGTCAAATCTCAGAATACGGTTCAGGCCTTCGCTTTTTCAGCATGTGGGCCTACACTCTTCCCTAGAAGGAAAGATTCAAAAACTCACAGTGAGTACTGATAGAAAGCAACATATACTTACACCAATTTTGGGAAATATGTTCATTAATCAACCTTAATTAAGAACTACTTATTTTTTAAATATATATTTCTTAACTATATGCTATATTTAAATACAACTGCCACAATATCTGAGTATAATTCAGTCATTAAGTGAGACATCAGATGACTATGACTTTACTTCCTCATTGTCCATTAACTCTGTCACAAGTCAGTTAGGAAACATGGATGTTTGTTTGTGTGGTTCTTGTGCTTGCAGGCACTTGACAAGTGGCTGTAAGTGCTAATAGGTTGCTAGACATCCAGATCATGATCACATGATTGCATCTAGTAATCCCTAAAAGTCACCACAAGTTAGTCCTTTCCTTCCTTCCTTCCTTCCTTCCTTCCTTCCTTCCTTCCTTCCCTCCCTCCCTCCCTCCCTCCCTCCCTCCCTGCTTTCTGGCAGTCCTGGTCAAATCAGCGATTTGATTTATACTGATCAGTTGATAATTATGTTAGAGTAGTTATTAACAAGAATCTGTTTGCATATCTGAATTAGAGATCATAGTACTTGGGTATGGGGTCATGATGGGGAGATGATGATATTTCAAATTGCCCCTTTTAGGTGAGAATAGTTCAGAAACTTTTCCAATGCCATGGTCATTCTAGTTGACCATTTTATATATCCTGAGTATTGTACAACATGCAATGGGTCCAACAGACAGGGAACATCTGTCAGTTGTATCTAAATGAAAAGAAAGTGTCATTTGTAGATGATCACAGTCAGAAGCACCAACTGTTGTATAGTCTCTTAGGAAATTCACAAGTCCTCAAGCAAGGGCTATACCATCTATTGTGCTCAAATTGAGGCTAGACCAAAATGTAAGTTCCTCTAGTCTGTCCCTAGGGACACCACCATTTAGAGCAGTAGTCGCCAACCGGTGGGCCGTGGCCCACTGGTGGTCCATGAGAAAATTTTGGTGGGCCACAGAGAAATGTCACCTGCAGAGCACGCCCCCCCCCCCAAAGCAATTAATCCAGGCTGCACAGAAACACAACGCTGCGCTGCCCACATGGCCCACGGGAACCCTTCCTGTCCACTCACTCCTTACCGGGAAAACTTGCCTGCTAGTTGCTATTTTTCCTTTTTCCCCCCCCCGACCATCAGTTGTTCTGCTGTACTAGGAGATTTAGATTAGCTAGAAAGCAGGAAATGGTTGCATTTCTTGCTTTCTGGCTAGTCTTTAGATCTTCAGCTCTGCACAGCCGAATCTCCCTTAGAACTGAAGGTTCTATTATTCCGTGCAGACTCACGGCAAGCAAATTTTATGTGACAGACTCAGGTTGACAATGGCAGATAGATAGATCACTGAATGATTCTGTGAGCAACTCAATCTGCCTGCCTGCTTTGCCTGCTTTGGGGTAAAAGTTGCTCTTTTTTAAAATAAAAAATTCAATATTTACATACATAGTGTGTTGTGAGTTAATTTTGTGAATTTGCTTGCAAGCAAATTTTATGTGACAGACTGAACTAGCTGATGGCAGATAGATAGATCTCTGAATGTACCTGTGATTCTGTGAGCAACTCAATCTGCCTGCCTGCTTTGCCTGATTTTGGGGAAAAGTTGCTCTTTTTTTAATAAAAAAAAATTCAATATTTATATAAATATTTATAATATTTACATACAAGCCATGCCCAGCCAGTCACATGACCACATCCAAGCCACACCCACAACTTAGGCCATGCCCACAGAACCGGTTAGTGATCCCTGGGATTTAAAATTATGAGTTTGGTGGTCCCTGAGGTCCAAAAGGTTGGTGACCCCTGATTTAGGGTATGTAAACTGAGGTTGCTAAAGCATTTTGCAAGACAAAAACCTGTGAAGTTAGATATTGGACCTTTGGATTGGTGGCTGTCCAGCAGTGGAGGCAAATAAACCTCTGGAGGATATTTATGCTTGAATAGCAATAGCAATAGCAGTTAGACCTATATATAGCTTCACAATGCTTTACAGCCCTCTCTAAACAGTTTACAGAGTCAGCATATTGCTCCCTATAATCTGGGTCCTTGGAAGGCTGAGTCAACCTTGAGCTGATGAGAATCGAACTGCTGAACTGCTGGCAGTTGGCAGTTAGCAGAATTAGCCTACAGTACTGCATTCTAACCACTGCGCCACCACAGCTCTAAAGGGCCTAATCATTGTGGCCAAATCTTGCATTAAAATCTCCTCCTATAATAATTATTATTAAATTTATATTTTCTTGCCATCTCTTGATTGCTTTCATGATAGTACAGATAGTCCTTGACTTACAACTGCAACTGGGGTCGGAATTTCTATGCCTAAGTTGTACGAGTCACACCTGATTTTATAACCATGGTTGTTAATGAGTCCTTGCGGTTATTAAGTGAATCATTAAGTTAATCTGGCTTCCCCTATTAACGTTGTTTGGAAACCAGCTGGAAAGATTGCAAATGGCAATCACCTAACCCCAGGACACTGAAGCTGTTATAAATGCCAGTCCCTGTTGTCAAGTGCCTGCATTGCGATCATGTGACCATCATCGTGGTGTGATGATTGTAAGTGTGAGAATTTGTTTCAAATCACTTTTTTCAGTGCCATTGGAATTTCAAACCAAATTCATAACCAAGTGGTTGTAAGTCTAGAATTACCTGCAGGTGTAGGAGGTTGTTTCTCATGCAATAAATGAAATATTGCTAACTGTAATGTTCCATAGATTAAAAGGGAAAACAGTTTAAAAACAAAAATAAGATAAACAAAGCTTTAAAATGGGAAAGTTATAAACAGGACCAAGGAGTGTCTGTAAGAAGATGCTGTCATGTCACCGTGACCTCCTCCAGATTTTCCTATAAGTTATGGGACAAAACGTTGCCAGGTGCAGTGTTTAGGGGAACTTTTCACTACAATTTTGTCTAAGTGAAATATGTCAGTAAAATTGTTACAAATGATTTTTATCAAGAAAAATTTAATAACCTTGAAAAGCACAGGAAATCTATTTATTGCCCTACCATCTATACTTCGTTGTTATTGTTGTTCCCCACTTAACATTATATCTTGTCTTTTTTTATATAGGATAAAGACTTCTTGAAACCATTATTGCATAAAATTCATGTGAATCCACCAGCAGAGGTTTCTACAACGTTAAAAGTCTATCAAGGGCATGCTCTTGAAAAAGCCTACATGGGTGAAGACTTTTTTTGGGCTATCACACCAGTTGCTGGAGATTATATCTTGTTTAAATTTGACAAGCCAGCTAATCTAGAAAGGTAACTGTTTTATTTTCATTTTAATATGAAACATTTCCTGAGCTGAAGGGGTTAATATCTCCTGGTAGTAAATTAAACAGTGAAGACACTACACCAGAGGTCCCCGAATTTGGCAACTTTAAGACTTGTGGACTTCAACTCAGAGAATTCTCCAGCCAGCTATGCTTAAAGTTGCCAAGTTTGGGGACCCCTACACTACACGTAGTCCTTGACCACAAGTGAGACTCAAATGTCCTTTGCTAAGCAAGGCAGTTAAGTGAGCTGTGCTTCATCCAATTATTCTGTTATGGTCTTTTTGCCACAGTAAATCAGTGGTGGGATTCAAATTTCTTTACTACCGGTTCTGTGGGCGTGGCTTGGTGGGCGTGGCAGGGGGAGGATACTGTAAAATCTCCAATCAGAGGTGATATTTGCCAGTTCTCCGAACTACTCAAAATTTCCACTATTGGTTCTCCCGAGCTGGTCAGAACCTGCTGAATAGCACCTCTGCCACAGTTGTTAAGCGACTCGCTGGAGCTGGTAAGTCAATCATGCAGTTGTTAAGTAGGGGTTGCCACAAAGAAGAGGGAAACTAATCAAGGAGAGAAGCAACCTAGAACTGAGAAGAATTTTCCTGACAGAACAATTAATCAGGGGAACAATTTGCCTCCAGAAGTTGTGAATTCTCTCCAACACTGGACATTTTTTAAAAAAATATTCGGATAACCACTTGTTGGAAATGGTGTAGGTTTTCCCGGTAAGCAGGAGGTTGGACTAGAAGACCCCTGAGGTCCCTTCCAACTCTGTTATTCTATTCTATTCTTTTCTATTTTCTATTTCATTTCTGCTTTCCCCATTGACTTTTCTTCTTGGAAGCCTGCTGGGAAGGCTGCAAATAATGATCACTTGACCCTGGGACGGAGACACACACACACACACACACACACACACACACACACACACACACAGACACACATATATTAGTGCGCTGAAGTTTCAATCCACTCCCCCAGATTTTTTCATGTCATGCCCTCTCTCCAGAGACCCAGTTAAATGTAATCTCATGGAAACAGCTATCCAACACCTACTGGACATACGAGCCATCCAGCCAATAGCAACCAACCAACGAGGGCGAGGTTTCTATTCACATCTTTTTGTTGCTCCCAAAAGTTCGGGGGTGGTGGTGGAGAGCAATATTGGATCTGAAACATCTCAGCCGTTTCTTAGTATATTGCAAGTTTAAAATGCACTCCCTGCAATCTATCTTACTTGGCATCAGAAAGGGTGACGTCCTCATGTCCATAGGCCTGACAGAGGCATACCTGCATATTGCTATTCAGCCTTCCCACTATAAATTTCTGAGATTTTGTTATAATAACCACCATTTTGAATATGTGGCCCTTCTTTTCGGATTAGCTTCTGCCCCTAGGACCTTCACGAAGGTTCTCGCAGTGCTAGCTGCTCATCTCCATGATATCCCCGTACGACTCCAGTGTTATCTTGATGACATCTTAATTTTGTCATCTTCCGCTCATCAGGCAGTCAAAGATACGCAGAACACATTACAATCCCTACAACAACACGGATTCTCAATAAATTGGAAAAGGAGTCATTTAACATCATCGACTCAGTTAACCCATCTGGAGGCAGTCATAGATACGGTGGAAGGCAAAGTTTACCTGTCACCAGATAGACTAAATAGCGTTCAGCAATTAGTTAAGGAGATCAGGGGTCTTAAGGCTTGATGTGAGGCGAGTATTGCAAATATATATCAACCGCACAGCGGCTTTCAGAAAAACGGAAGCCTTATTTGTGTCTTTTCAGCCCAACACTCAGGGATGCAAGGTCTTACCTTCTACAATAGGCTGTTGGATACGGGCCACGATAGCGAAAATGTATCAGACTCAAGGTGCCCAGGGGCATAACAGCTCATTCAACAAGGAGCGCTGCAACATCAGCAGCGTGGGCCACACAGGCACCAATAACTGAAATTTGTCAAGCTGCAACCTGGGCCTCTCCATCACCATTTATTAGGCATTATAAAATAGATGTTTGCATCCGCTGAGGCCTCCTTTGGCAGAAGAGTTCTGCAACGGGTCCACAGGGACCAGGAGGAGATTCCAGGCCAGATGGAGTCCCTCCCGTAGGACAGGCCAAGCTTTGGTATATCCCACTACTGGATGCTCTGAACAGCTCATGGGAGAAAGGGCGTTGGTACTTACCTGACATGCCCGTTCTCTTTGAGCTGTGAAGAGCATCCAGCCCCACCCTTTTTTTCCATCTGTTGGGGTCCTGTTTTGGCCAACGAGTTGTTAGGGCATTGAGGATGAGGGCGGTTATGTCTCTCGTCTTCGCCAAAACTGGGGAATGCTGGGGAGGAGGACCGTGGAGGAGGAGGAGCATTCCATGAATTAAACCCAGCCTAGACATGTGGAGACTGAAGCACCTCTCACTACTGGATGCTCTTCACAGCTCAAAGAGAACGGGCGTGTCAGGTAAGTACCAATGCCCTTTCTGAAAATTGTCAGATAACCATTTTGTTACTCTGATGTCATCTAAACTAGTGGTTGCCAACCGGTAGTCCACGGACCACCAGAAATTTTGGTGGGCTGCAGAGAAATCTCACCCACAGAGCACCCCCCCCCCCAAGCAATTAATCCAGGCTGCACAGGAACGCAAGGCTGCGCCGCCCACATGGCCTGTGGGAACCGACCCTGCCCACTCACTCCTTACCTGGCAAACTTGCCTGCTAAATTGCTATTTTTTTCTTTTTCTGATCATCAGCTGTTCTGCTGTGCCGGGAAATTTAGATTAGCCATGAAGCAGGAAAACGATGGATTTCTTGCTTCCTAGCTAACCTTTAGATCTTCGGCTCCGAACCTTCCTTAGGACTGAAGCAGTACAGACTCAGCTAGCCAATGGCAGAAACACAGATCTCTAAGTAAATCTGTAATTCTGTGAGCCACTCAATCTGCCTGCCTGCTTTGCCTGATTTTGGGTAAAAGTTGCTCTTTTTTTAAAATAAAAAATTCAATATTTATATATATGGTGTGTGGTGAGGTAATTTTGTGAGTTTGCTTGCTAGCAAATGTTATGAGTTTGCTTGCAAGCAAATTTTATGTGACAGACTCAGCTAGCCAATGGCAGAGAGATAGATCTCTAAATGAATCTGTGATTCCGTTAGCAACTCAATCTGCCTGCCTGCTTTGCCTGATTTTGGGTAAAAGTTGCTCTTTTTTAAATAAAAAAAATCAATTTTTATTTAAATATTTATAATATTTACATACAAGCCATGCCCAGCCAGTCAAGCCTACCAAGCCACACCCACAAATTTGGCCATGCCCACAGAACCGATTGTTAAGAAATTTGAATCCCACTTCTGTCTTTGTGTGTGTGTGTGAGAGAGAGGGGGGGAGGGAGAGAGGGAGATTAGATCAGATCTCTCTCTCTCCCTCTCCCACCAAGATCAGCAAGCACCATCAGTCAAAATTCATATTAGTGGTCCCAGGAATTTAACATTGAGTTTGGTGGTCCCTGAGGTCCAAAGGGACCCCTGATCTAAACTAAGTTTGAGTTACAAAATCATTCTTCATGTTCTTTATATGAAACCTCATGAATGCCAAAATAGCCTTTAATTAGATTCTCAGCAAAGAGACAGAGCAAAATGTCTCCTGTGCTTGTATTGTTATAATGGAAATTCTGCTGGTTATCTTGTTCACGTATTTGAAAAAGTTCATAATGAATTGTTTGCAAGATCAGTTTTGAACATTATGTTTTGTTCTTCATTCTTGGTAGCAATTCTTTGCATATTACCTAGAAGTAAACTCTCAATAGATAGAAATGGAGCTCTATGGGTGATTTGTGATTGTTTTTTCTATTTGTTTTGCTTTATTGTTTTTCATGATATAGATTCCTGTTCCATAGTGGCAATCCAGAACATCCAGGGGATATATTGGTCAATACAACTGTGGAAGTATTACCTCTTAGGGTATGATAATAAAGTCTACTACTTCTTCCTTTCTATGAGTATAACAGTTATACAAATAGTTAGCAACCACAATTGGGACCAGAACTCAATTGCTAAATGGTGCTAAGTTGGAAAATCATGTTACTACAACTGTGCTTATCATTTTATTTCAGCTTTCCTTTTCTCCTACTCCTAAGCTGAATGCTTACCGCAACACTGTATAATTAGCAAGAATTAATGTTTGTATTACATTCACTGTAGAGGAAGGGATTACAAGAGAGTAAGCAGGACCACTCCTTTATTAATACTGGGGATTACACTGGCTGTTTGCCTTGCATGCTCAAGGCTGAGAATTTATAAATAATAACTTCCTGCAATAATGTAGTTATCAGCATTTCTTTTTATCCCACTCTTAAAAAAATAAGCCTGGACTCCATGTACCTTATTCTGTAACTATAATAACTGAAGACATTCCCTACCCATGCCCCCATTCCCAGAACAATAAATATTTATAGACCATCACAATAAACTTGACTTTTGTTGCTGAACTAAAGTTTCCTGTATCTCTTTCAGCACAGGCCATGCTGCACGTTTTGTAATTCAGCCACAGCTGAAAGATGATAGGTTTTCCATCTTTCTTCAGAATGCTGATCAATGGTAGAACCAAGGAGGGAAGGTGTATTGGACTTGCAGGACTTGCAGATGATTAAACATAAAATTTAAATTATCCACTTGTAAATTATTAACTTGTAAAACTTCAATTCTCTATTGTCTTGGGGCTTATTTATTAGTAAATATCTTTAGTATTGGACTACAACTTTTTATAGGTCTCAAAGAGGAATATAAACTGAATATAAATGCCATTATTAAAAATTCCAAAGATAGGTCAGAGAAAGGGAAAAATCACATCATGCATGTTATGTTAAAATAAGCTGTATATATGGAAATAAAAGGATGCAGCATATCATTATCTTTTAAGAATATTTTTTCACTTCCTGGTATCAACCAACCATGGCCTTTTCAGGAAGGGCCCAGTCCAGTCTTGTTGGCTTCCAGGGTATAATGAAATGGGGATGGGGGAAAGAATTGTGAATTTGTTATTCATTAGCATATTAGTATTTATTAAACAATTAATTAAATCCTTTATCAGTTTGATGATAATATTTTATATCTCATTTTTCAGAATAAAGAGCTGGTCTTAAGCAAAGAAACCAAAGAGAAACGGTTAGAAGATGGTTATTTCAGAATAGGTAACCAAATAATACTACAGTTCTGTTTTATAGACATTTCAATACAAAATCTAAGTAACTCACGTTATGACTCATTTTGCATTACTATTGATCTAGCAGCATACTAATCAAGTTCAGGGGACAGAATTTCATGAACCCGTGTCACAGAAGGTATATGAGTAGCGATATGGTATTGGCGTTACCCACAAAATAAGGTGTGCGTTGACATGTTGGAACTGTGAAATCTAGGGAAAAATTGCAACCATCTAATTATGGATTCTGAAGTCTGCATCACTTAAATGTTGTTATGGTAGAGTAGCAATTCAAAATTTATTGCAAAGTGTAGTGCATAGGGGTGTATATACTGTATAGAGACTCCTTAAAGCAGCCATCTGACTTTGCGAAAATACATAGCAGCATTAAAGAATTTGAGTCAAGTGCTATCTTCATGTTCTCTGAAGGCCTTTTTTGAAATTGTTCATATTCCAGCTAAATGAAGTGATCATACGATTTTCGTTTGATAGAATAAATAAGTAGAATAAAACCAATCAATAATGCTATATTGGGCAGATAATTTTTTCATATTATCCATAAAAATCCAGATTTTGTAATCTATTTGTGCACAATTGATAGATTACATATAAGTGATTTGTATTTGCTAAGTATATACTTATTTAGAATGATTATTTTGCTTTTGAAGGCAAATTTGAAAATGGCATAGCAGAAGGAATAGTCAGTCCTAATCTAAATCCAATTACAGCTGTCCGGCTGTTCATCATACAAAATTCATCCGTCTGGGCAATCATAAATGAGGTAAGAGTTAAACAAAGGGTGCTTAATTACTGGAACTTTTGCCTCAAGCATTTAAATTCTTAAGTTTCTTAAATATCATGATGATCTTAAATCTTTGGGACTATTCTGAATCTTTCTCCATTATAAAAGTGCAGTTGCTATGCACTGAAGAGGAATATTAATGCTAATACTGGATGGAAAATTCAGAATAGTTTGACTTCTTTGCATTTTATAGCACTTGTATATTCTTGATTTCCTACCATAGACTGGATGGTCCAATGGTATGAATTGAGTTAGATCCAAATATGTCCTATTTGTTGAAAGGCCCTTTGTCTCCTTTTTCCTTTTTCCAATACTACCCATGCTATTCAGAAGGTTCTCCAGTTCCTGAGATCTGATTTCTAAGAATAGCGGAGAAAGGAAACCCATCTCTTCTGTTACCAAGGCTAAAGTGCTTTCTATCAATATATTCTGTTCATGGAATATTTGAGCTAGTCCAGTTCAGAAAACCTTTTACAGTAATCAAGTGTGTCAGTTTGCAGGGTTCTTAATGACTTAGATCAGACTTGCCAAATCTGGTGGTCTGTCGTATAAGTTCTATACATCTGAAATGTCATGTTGGGAAAAACTGTCTTAGATTAACTAAGAAATTGTGGCTAGTAGTAATATAACGAAGAATTTTACCTTATAATAGAAAAGAGGCTTCTGTTTCTCCTTTATCTTTTAGTAGTAATGGCCATAGAGATGTACTGAGCAATAGCTCCCAGCAACCACTTTCATCATGTCTTCTGCTAACAGATACGTAAATTTTGATCTAGCTCAGAGGTCTCCAAACTTGGCAACTCTAAGACTTGTGGACTTCAACTCCCAGGATTCCTCAGCCAGCTATGTTGCCAAGTTTGGGAACCCCTGATCTAGCTGTTCACCCCATCTCTGATTAACAGTCATTCTTGTATCAAAAGACATGCAGAAGCACATTCCAAAAAAGTGATTTGTTAAATGTCGCAGAAACTTGATTATATCACACTGAAAAGCCTATGAAGAATGTTTGCTTAAGTGTTTGGCTGTTTATTGGGGGTCTATCAGACATTTTTCAATTCTGCATTACAGATTCATATTAAAAAGCTCCCCAACTGATTAATATTGAAGAAGTAAGAAGATAGATGTTGAATATTTTTGCAAAATCGTCCGAACTGCAGAAGGAAGATATTGAGTACGCACCTTAATTCAACTCAACTGAAACACTACCTCCCGTGAATTCTACTGTAATTGAAAATAAGGACTCAGCAAGAAGGATTGATTACAACGTAGAAACTGATATTCACCTGGCATTCTTTATCTATATTAATAATTTGAACATGACTTTGGTTGGCTAGGGAGCACATAAATTCTCCTTGGCCTATCCAGTGGTGATGGGTTAAGTACATAAAAGGTGTACATATTGTTACATTCCTTGGAAATGAGAAAAAGGTGTTAAAATGCATTTTATGAAGAGGGTACTTTTTGAAAGTCCATTTATTTTGTTATTGAAAACCCTCTTTTATAGATTATCAGGGATATATATTCAAAAATTTTAGGGTATTTAATTTATTAAATAATTTGAAAAGTACATATTTTTATGCCAATAATAACTTGTTTTTTAATGTATTATCTTACTTCTTGAGTTAAATGTACATTTTACTTGGTTAATGATCATATTTTGTAATGTATTGCCATGGTTAGAAGAGTTGAACTGAATTTGCCAATGAAGCACTTTTGTACCAGACCAGATTCTCCTGCACAAATCCTGCTGAAATAAGAAGGGTTTCACAGAAGAACATCCTCATGAAAAGTTCACAGAATCACGGATATGGTGTTCAAAGATACACACATGGCATGCAAGGACTTTGAAGAACATTACCTATGATTTTCATCGCCCTGGAATTAAGGAATTTTATATTTCAATAGAGTGAATGAAGTCTGCAGCAATTTAAAGTTCGAATCATTCCCCATTACAGGGGTACTTTGATAACAGGTTGTTCTTTTTTAATCTTTGTAAAGTTTTCTTCAATGCAATCAGCCAAGTTGCTCTTTGGATAGCAATGCCTTCTGAAATCAACTTTTTTTTTTTTTGCATTCCCTTTTCAATGAACTCTGCTCAGTGCTTTTGAATGATTTAATTTAGCATTCTGTTAGGGATAATGGAATAGATACACAGTAACCTCAGCTGAGCTTTTATAATTGTAACTTTGTCAGTCCTTAAATGTGGAAGTGATTTCTATTTCTTAAGATCCAGCTTCTGTTTAAAAGCATTGCACTCCAATTGACTGAAGCAAGGCTCCTGTGATTTAAATGCTTGTTGTCTTTTGTATTTCAAAGAAAAAAGATGTTTGCTTGGTCAGTAGCCTTGAAGAGAGGCAATTCAAGCACTTTGTGCTCCGTAGCACAGAAAACATGCAATAGTAAAGTAATAATAGTAACAAAACATGTTTTTTCTTATCTAACTCCAGCCAAGTTATGAAAAGCAAGGTGATTTTTTTTTTTAGTTCTGTGACTCACACAGGTAAATTGAATCTTCTCCAATAGTGACAACTTGTATTGTGAGTTAATTCTTAGATATTTCTGTGTCTTGGATGTAAGTTTTTGCCAAAAATCAATGTCTCTCTTGCCTTCTATCAAATATAGAAATGATTTGTAATGTATTGAAGGGATTGGACATCTGTTTTCTATTTGAGTCTATGAAGAGTCCAACTACTTCTAAAGAAGAAGAAAAAAGATCACAGTATGAAAAAAACACTTGAATTGTTTCAAATTATTCAAGACTTGAGATTGCTTTGATTTTAATTAGATCTGATCCTATATTTATGAAATAGTTTTGCTGAAATTCTTCGTTGGTTGGGGACGTATGCATATAGAATTGCTTGTATGACATACTAAGTTATGGATTTGAATATTACTACTTCTATAAAATTAATAGATGGCCTGTACTCAGGGGTGGGATTCAAATTTTTTAACAACCGGTTCTGTGGGTGTGGCTTGGTGGGTGTGGCTTGGTGGTCATGTGACCGGCTGGGTGTGGCCAACTCAACATCACTCATATTGAGGCACGCATCTCCTTGCCTGGCCTCTCATGACTGTGGGGATGCTGCAACAGTCGTAAGTGTGAAAAATTGTCATAAGTCACTTTTTTCAGTGCCATTGTAACTTTGAATGGTCACTCCACACAAGCAAAGTACCAACAAAGGAGGGGGGAAAAATCTCCAGAGAAGTTCCTGAGACAGGAAGTCCAATCCTGCCAAGAATGTAATAAGGGTCAACGGAGAGGCAGTTTCTGTAAGCAACACCAGAATGTTTCTTTCCTGCCTTCCTTACCAGATTAGGCCAGTAATTTCTTCTAATAACTGGTTCTCTGAACTGCTTAGAATGTTAACAACCGGTTCTAGAGAATAGGTGCGAACTGGTAGAATCCCACCCCTGCCTGTACTGATTCCAAAATGGAAGGAATAGTAATAGTGGCCTATTTTACAGACTAAACTAATGAAGAACTCTGATTCCTAAATGTTCTATAATTCTTAAATGTTAAAATTATTTTTAGATAACCTGTAATCTGCCTGTAATACTGAACACTAATTGAATGTGTATTTAATATTGACATGCCATGTTGGGGTGGGTGGAGTATTTATGATAAACTTAATAATGATAATCAAGAATAACATTTTCCTACGCAAAAATAAGGTTGGGTAGGAAAAACATAGAGAATTGGGGAAAAACTGTTCAAAATATGTACCTTTTCTTTATATGGAAAAGGGAATAATATGTACGAAAATATTAATGTCCATATTTTAAGTTTCTTATGAACATGTTTTAAAGCTATATAATCACTTGTCATAGCTCTCAAGCTAACATAGCAGATCAATGGTTTATGAGTCATAAATGCCTCATAAATGTGAGGTTTTCTTTCCCCAGTGGCTTATTCCATTGCAGTTTTTGTAGGTTTATTTACCTCTTGTATTTAAACATTAGTCTGAATCTTAGATCTAAATGTAATTTATTGTTCTCTTCCAAAGACCAGTAGATCATTTTCTCCATTGAATGTATGGTCTTTGGGGAAAGTTTCTGTCTCGAAAATCAGTAGCCAATTGATTTAACAGTAACCCAGAAGTCAAAATTGACGTCCTCCAGTGTAACTTTAGTCATACTTTGTCAGATGCAATATTTCCTGTATTCAGTAGTATTCTAATATGCACTATTACAGATCTCATGTTTCAATCCTTAACTTTAATTCTTGAAACCCATACAAACAGACAACTGTCTTAGGTATAAACCATTCCATGTAATAAAGAATTGCACAGAAGAAGAGATACACTAGCAAAGTGTTCCTGTATTGCCAATTGGAAATGAGAAAAAGTAATAAATGTCAGTTCTTTATACTGCCAGCTTTAAAGATCCAACTGGCTAAATCAGGTAATAAAGCCCCCCTCCCCCCAAAGCAATTGGCCAGTTGTATAAGGATATCTAAATGGACCAATAAACTTCTATGTGGATTAATGCTCTAGTGAAGAAAAGAGCTTGTGTACAATTTTCCACCACTTGAGCTATAGTAATAGAATTGTCTTAATGGTATTGTCCTAGCATCATTCTAAGTACATTCATTTACTTTGATGCTGTAGTAGAGTTTGTTAAGAATAATTTCAAATGTTTTATTTTCTAGTGGAAGACTTAGATTATTGTTTTGTAAGTATAACAGTGAGAGAGGCAATTTAATGATTAAGGCTTTAGACTAGAAACTGGGACCCCAAATTCTAATCATGCCTTATGTGTTAAGCCAGTCTTTCCCACCACCACCCAGCCTAGGAAGGAGGCAATAGCAATCCACTTCTGAAATCTTGCCAAGAAAACTGCAAAGGCTCATCCAGAAGTCAGTACAATACTGACTTGAAAGCCAGATGCAAAAAACAAACAAACCCAATAAACAGTATACATTGAGTTGGTGCTTAGAATAATCTCACTGAATGGAATATGCAAAAAGCTTATTGCTTTCCAATAATTACATGACTATCAGGACATGAATGCAACTATATTACAGATAGTCCTCAGTGTAAAAATCATAATCGGGACCAGAATTTATGTAGCTAAAAAAGACAGTGGTAAAGTGGGTCATCTCCAATTTTATAGCTTTTTTTGTCATGTTAAGCAAATCACTGCAGTTGTAAAATGATTCCGGCTTCCCTCATCGGCTTTGCTTGTCAGAAGCCGGCTGGGAAGGTTGCAAATGGTGATCATATGACCGACCCCAGATGATCCTGCAACCATCGTAAATACATGTCAGTTGCCAAGCACCCAGACTTTGATCTGTGAATGTGTGGATGCTGCAACGGTTGTAAGTGTGAGGACCAATTATTAGGCACTTTTTTCACTGCCATTGTAACTTCAGATATTTGCTAAACGGTTGTAAGTCAAGAATTACTTATATGTCACTAGGTTGTTCGAAAATAGGTTCAGTAGAAAATTCTCAGTTGATGACTTAACAAAAAAGTGTACCCTGATAGTTTGGAGTAGATAATAACTTGTGGAATACATCCATAGCATCTGCTCAACCAATTAAAAAATAAATCCAAATTTCTAAAATGGGAATCTAATACATGGCACTAGGCTTATTTTTAGTTCAAAAATAGTTCATAAGTTTTCCAATAAAATGTGTGGTAACTGCACAGGATTTTATTTAGAAGAGTGCCTGGAAGGATGCATTTTGGTATACTTTGCTTTTATACTTTGCTCATAGTACAATTTTGAGAGTAGGCCAATGCTCTTCCCAGATTTCATGCTGGGGTTCTGATATATTCTCAGCTTTCTAAATATATCCATCATCCCAAACCCCTGATATAATTATCTTTTCTTATATTTCTACTGACATTCATATTTTCTTAATATAAATGCGGCTGAACTAAATGTCCAAGTTGCTGGCATTCTTTATTTTACTGAAATATTAAATCTTAGCAGTTGATAATTAAGCATAGTTATTTTTAAAATATAAATAAAAGGTGTCTGGATATTTCTGGTGCTTAAAACATCCATTTTTAAAAAGAGCTTTTGAATGTTTTTTCCCCTAAAGCTTTTTGAAATTCTTCCTGCAAAAGTACAAATATTAATTCATTTCCCTTCTTACCTATTTGGTCTCAAATTCAGTCTACTTCCTCCTCCTGGAGAAAAGAACAGCTTGTATATTACTTGAAGTATGGTGTTTTGAAGATGCTATTTTGATTGTCAGTAGAAACCAATTTACAGGTTTAAAACGTTTAGAGTTGCCCTACTTTTTTGACTGCCAGCTTTCTAGTTGTGCTTCTGTTCTTGTGCTTGTGAAATGTGAATCTTCATCCTACAGCCAGATTTCTTGGCATTCTCCATGATATGGTTAAGCATTTTCATTACTTGTAAAACTTTTTTAGAGCTAGATTTTGATATTGTTAATCTTGCTGCTACATTTGAAAATCTAACTGGGTCATGTTAATTGTGCCTTTCATCAATGCGCTATGTGCCACGAGCTGCCCATGTACTATTTGAAATAAATATTTTTTAAAACTCTCTTCTGGCGTTTTAACTAGAAAAAAAATGAAAAATTTTGCAGAAGGGCTGGAAGTATTTGTATTAGATAAATACCACTGGAATAACTTGTGTACGTAAAACTAACCTACAGAAATGAATTTTATATGCAATAGTTTACAAACAGAGACATATTTACATACACCGAGAGCATAATTCCAGCTGACATAGAATGGCTATCTTAGAATAGTTTTCTTTTTAATTTTCTGAGGTGGGATAACGATTAGGGAAAGAAGATGGGAAAGAAAATCATAATGACATAGTGCTTTCCCTGCAAAATCATCTTGTGAGATTATATGCAAATTTGATCAATAATTTTATTCAGTTTACTACCTCTCATTTTATTTCCCCCTCTTGCAAACTATTACATATGATTTATATATGCCATATTCTCCATGCCCTCCTAAGAACATTGTCACATACCACCTCTACCGACTACTTAGTAGAGTTTATATATTAAAAGTACATGAATAGCAAAAAGTATGGACATTTTAGCAAGTCCAAGAGTAACGTAGTGCAATTTTAAACATCTCTTCACTTTCTATAAAATTTATCAGGCTTTTTATATAACCTGGAGAATTTATGGGCACAATGGTGTTATGCTTTTCCTGGTGCTCTAGAATTATGTAAATGTGTATGTGTTAGAAGCTGCCAGACTAACACAAGAATGGCTAGACTATTTTCCAGAATATATGACCACAAAGTGGGTTGGGTAGTGTTTCCCACCTTAAGCGATAGCTACGACCTAATGCTAAGCATGTTTTCATTTATTATTTGGAATGAGTAGCAGTAGAAGCACAGCTTCTTTGGGGCCAACATATTCACATGAAACGTTACTAAGTTTTTACCCACCTTTTTATATGGGTGGCAAGATGGCAAACATATCTAATACTGCTGCTGCATTTTTTCACCACAACAACCACTTTATGTGGCAAGTGATTGAGGGAACAGGACTGGCCCAAAGTCACTCAGCTGGCTTTCATGCCCCAGGAAGGCCTAGAACTCAACCTCCCAATTTCTAGGCCAGCACCAAACCCCCATAAGTCTTCTAGAGTCTGGAATAGAATCTTTAATATCTTTTTTCTTACAAAGAATATTTTAGAAAAAAATTTAAAACCGCCATCCTATTTTTTTTCTTGTCTCTTGAGTTTGGGGTGTATTTCTCCAGCTCTCACACATTTATGAGATAACAGCTGATTTTTTTTCTCGATTTTCCTGGAGTAACCAAATTACAAAGAAATATTATCTTTAAAACTCACTAGGTGTCATGCCCCGTCTGAATCTGAAGATGACGAACAGCTGACAAGGAGCGGAAATGTGGCTCCACTGGCTATGGAGGAAACTGGGGAAGGGCAAAGTCAGGCTGGGCAGAGTAGGGGGTGAGGTAGAACAAGGGAGGGAGTTCAGAGGAAGACCCAGGCCCATCTCCTTTTCATCCTAGGGCACGCAGGGAGGAATGGAGAAGAAAGCAACGTGAGTTGCATGGCTTACAGGGGAGGAAATGGCCCTGATTCCCTTCAGTAGGCACATCTGGGATGAGAGTTTAAAGGATAGGCATCTGAGAGCAGTGCTTGCTGGGAACAAACCAAGTTTATCTTGTGTTGACTGCGGTTATCTGCATTCCTGGCATCCTCCCAAATGGGTTGATTAACTTCCGTTCCTTCATTTTTGGAACTGCCAGATTAATTTACCTCATCTTGCCTTGATTGGACTTAAAGCAGCCAAAGGCTGTTCCTGGGAGAGTTTTTCTCCAGACCAGAAGGTAACCAGGACATTGGGGGCAAAGTTGGAGCTAATAAAGGGACTCTTACTTATTATCTGACTGTGTTGCCTTTGTGCCATGCCCCGGGTCACCACACTAGGCATTTATAAGTAAAATAAAACCAGTCCCTCTACTTGCTTAATCTTGAATTTTGTATTATCTTATTGAATGACTTAATATATAAAAAGTGTATGAAGAAATCTACTTAAAAGCAATTGAATTTTAAAAAGAATCTTTATTACAGAGATGTACAATTCTTCCACAAAGGAGGGATATAGAAGGCTTATTGTCAGAAGGCTGTCAGTGTTTTTTTTAAAAAAAACAAAAACCCAAATATTTTTTATACACTGATCTACAGTGAGGAGTAAGTTATTTACAGGAATGTACAAGAGTATCTTCATCTCACCAGGTTTGACATTTGTACAAGTATTGTTTATTGGAGACCAGTTTATTTCACTCTGTATGTGTAGAAAACGCAAAGTGCTTTCGTAAAGTTCCACCCAATCGCTAAAGAGACCACGTATACCAAGATGAGAAGCGCAAATGGATACAGAAGGATCACCGTGTTCTTCAGGAATGGCAATGCTGAAAGGGAGCAGAGCTTCAGTAGAAACCAAGACTGCATCTCTTTGTCTCAAGGATAAGAAAGAGCGGGAAGGACTCCCTCCTGTGTGCAAGAAAGCTAACACACCTTCACTAAAAACACCCCCCCACCAGAGCAATTGCTAATTCTTGGAAATATGAAGCTTCCTGAAACAAAAACAAACCACTGAAGGAAATGGCAGAGTTGGCACTCAGGGGACTCACGTAAGTAATTTACTATACCCCAAAGGAGGGTATGGCAAGACAACTATGGAGGTTTTATGCTAAGGAGCAAAAGTAAAGATTGAACTGAGCTTCTCTGTGATTAGATAGTCCTTGACTTATGGCTGGTTGCTTATAACACAGTTCTGAAGACCACCTCCTCCCTGGTGGCTACATAACCGCATTATGCAACTGGCTCACAAAAATGGCTGTTTGATAGATAATGATGTAACACTGACGCACCCTTGTTTAGTACCAACAAAACTGTTCTTTCTCATCTGTCATACTAAGTTCTTGCTGAAAGCTTTGCCATTACTTACCACTGTACCCCAGAAATGTCACATAGATGTAATAACTAATTGCAACCAGCCAGAAAGTATTTCCAACAAAATAGCCAAGAGATGACGCTGATAAAATTACATCTGCAAGAGATAACCCAGGCTCAGTATAGGACATAAAAGAAAGCAAGACAATAAAAGTGCTTCAAATTTTTTAAAAAATACTTACGATGAATGAAAAACAACTGGATAAAATGCAGGATAACAAGAAGTGGGTAGAAAGCATTCAAATGAACATCAAAGGCATATCCCCACTCTACATCATAGTCCCTGTTCTGATGCTTTAGCAAAAATTTATTGGAGATAAACCTTTGAGGGAGAAATTCAAAACCTATGTATTACAATGTGCAATATTTTATTATTTTAATATAGCATGAAACAACTCTTTAAAGAACTTTCTTCTGTATAACATGAACTCTTTTTGCGTTCTGTAGTACTTTCAAAACCAAATGTATTTTTGATCTAGAAATCCAAAATAAAGCTTACAAGTTCTTTTAAGGAATATTATAAAAGCAAAAGAATAGTTTTGATTCCCTAGCTGAATATTAAAAATACAAATATATACTTCAGTATGGAACTTTATTTTTTCACCCTCCTCAAATCAGAGCAAGGGAAAAAAAGATTTTCCACTCTCTTTAATACAGTATGTGCCTATTATATGCCACAGAATCCTATGCATATTTTTCTAGTCATTTTCTAGTCCAGATGGTTTCCATAAATTCGATTGCATACATAAATGTCAAGTAATGGTAGTATGATAACAAGTGAACCCAGAATTAATTTAAATTTTGTATGACCTTCTCCAGAAAGTAAATCCAATATGTGACTTTCCTTTTAAATCTTGAGCTGATACTGGAGTAAACTGTTAATTTTAAATATTCTGTTCGGAAGTTGCAATTTTTAAATTCAGAAATCTGCATTTTAAGATTATTTTGAACTTACCACATTAAAGTTGCAATTAGAAGGCCAACTCCTACACAGTCTATAAACACGACCCACAGCAGCAGCTTTATCATTTCAACAAATCCCAAGCCTAACACAAATCCAAATCCTATAGTGGATACTGGAGGAGGAAGATGAACAGCAGTGACATATATGATTAATTCAAGGTATACACGATGCTCCAACTTTGGATAGTCATGTGCTCCCCAAATTTAATACTGCTTAAAGAAGATTCATTCAGTAATATGCCTCCATCTCCAATAAAGTTGTTGCTTATATAGTTTCATCTTTCCAAGCAAATATTTTGTATTCCCTTGTCAATACTGCTAATCTGAAAACTAAGACGCGTATATGTAGATTGCCTTAGTTGGTACGTAATATCTTTATACTTAGATGTTTCTAAATTGATGAAGTAAGTTATAGATAATGGTGTCTTTTTTAAGACTAGGGTTGAAATAGCTCAGCAGGTTAACCTGCTTACCAACAGAGAATTACTGGATATTGGTGTTCCTAGAGTTCAGATACAATTCTTAGTTCCTTCACAAATACTATGAATCTGACTCTGCCAGCAGGTGTTCAGAGTCTTTGGGAATGTAGGCAGGGCACTTCTAGCTCTTAATTCTGTAATGGTTTACTCTGGTTGAGCACTATGTAAAACACTAATATTTATTTTATTTATATCCCACCTTTACTGTTTTTATAAATAACTCAAGGCTGTAAACACACACAATATTTTTTTCCTCCTATTTTCCCCACAAGAACTCTGTGAGACAAGTTGGGCAGGCAGAGAGTGACTGACTCAAAATCACCTAACCAGCTTTCATGGCTAAAACTCATGGTCTCCTCCTGGCTTCTAGTCTGATGCCTTAACCACCAGACCAAACTGGTTACTGTTACTGAAGACTCATTACTACCGATACTTCAGGGCACCAAGCTAGAAACACTAATTTCAAGTAGATAGGGAAGTTCTCAGCTACTTACCACACAGCCAGATACTCAGCAACACAAGGAAAGCTGGATCATCTCTAGCCCACTGGTCTTTTGTTTGTTTCCTATACTGAAAATTTCTGTACACCTTCTGTGGTGAAGTGAACAGATACAACATCTGCCACACAGCAAACTCAAAGTCCATGTGACGAAAATGAAGAAGTCTTCTCAAGTATTTATAGCGCTTTGCTCCAGCCGTGTGTCTTGCTGATGCTCTAGTATTTAAAGATCCATTGCCCTGATCTCGGGGATTAATTAATGTGGTAGGCAACATCTTGCTAAATAGGGAAAAAAATACCCATCATTTTTAAAAAGAAGTATATCTGAGCTAAAACTTCAAAGCAGGCACCAGTTTCCCATGTTGAAATTATAAACCACCTCTTCCCAGTTCTGGGTAGTAAATCCTTGCTCTGTTTTATATAAGCATGTATTAGATCCTGTTATTAAACATAGTAGTAGAAAGTCAATCCTCACACTCTCTGTTAAGTATACTCAAAGTGTTAACATATTACCGTGTTTCTCATATAATAAGGCCGGATCTTTTTTTTTTTTTTGAGCCCCGAAAAAATGGGTAGGCCATTTTTCAGGGGTGATTTAATTCCCCCCCTTGCATCTTTGGACGGGTGGGCGGCGATGGCTTGGATGTTGACCTCGGCGTTGGTGGGGCACTTTGTATCAGGGTCAACGCAGGCAGCACCATGTCCAAGTGTGCAACAAAAGTACTTCCTAACGGCAAGCCCCCCCACCATTCCCCCCATTTCGCATGTTTTAATATAGGCCTTAATTTGGGGGGAGGGGCTTAATTTCATTTCATGCCTATAAAACATGCTGGGACTTCCTATTGTGGGAGGCCATATTGTTGGAGAAACAGGGTAGATACAACTGCAAAAAATATTTCTCAAAAGATTCCAAATGAAAAAGTCATAAACTAATGGGAAGATGTTCTACTTCATCCATTTGGCATCACTATTCTTGAATGAGCAGAGCAATTAATATTAATACCTTGGCTAAGGTCATCATTTTATATGATTCTCTGGCTTTGGCAATGACGTGATTCAATACAAAGAACTCAATACATAAATAGCTATGAAAGAGTTTTATCTATTTCTTGTAAGATTTTTGGTGGGGATAATGCTTGCTTTAAAAAAACCCTGCTTCCCAGAAATTTGGGAGAATTTCAAGATATATACAGCAAACGTGGCAGGATTTCCAATCCAAAATACTGACAAGCAGAGAAAGCAACAGTGAATCACTGGCAGTGATTTTTCTCTCTCATTGCCACTCCCCATCAGCCAAAGATTCATTCAGATACCATAACAAGCCACAGCTACATGCACGAGCCTCAGGCTTCTACAAACTTCTCTTCTCCTCTTGTGCAAGAGAGTTATGTGGTTGGTATCAGACCATTATCTTCTCACACAGGCCAAATTAGGACAAAATACATACTGACTTTGTAAAACAACTCTAAATGATCCAAAGCTTTATTAATTCATAAGATCATTGAATTGTACAAATGGAAACAATATATCTGTAAATTATTTCTTTCTCGCATAGTAGATCAAGGCAGGACTGTACTGCATGTACTAAGTATACTACGGTAGGAGATGGCAGAAAATGACAACAAAGAGAGAAAGTTCTTAAATTATCTTTGACAAAAACAGGCAACAACTGAGCTTTTTATACCTTTTGATCCAACGTAGTAAATCTCAAATGGCTAGAGGTTTAGGGACAAGAAAACCATTCAGCAGACATAACTGTGGAAGAACAGAAATTAAAGTAAATCAATACTGTAAAGGGAATGAAAAGCCAGTTGCAGAAAATAAATACAGATAGTCCTTGACTTACAATCACAACTGAGCCCAAAAATTTCTGTCGCTAAATGAGACATTTGTTAAGTGAGCTTTCTCCATTTTCCTACTTTAATGGCTACATTTGTTAAGTGAATCACGGTAGTTAGTGTTACGGTTGTTAAATTTATCTGGTTTCCTCATTGACTTTGCTTGTCAGAAGGTCACAAAAGGTGATCACCTGACACTGGGACCCTACAACTGTCATACATTTGAGTCAGTTGCCAAGCACCTGAACGTTGATCATGTGACCATGGGGATGCTGCAACAGTCATGTGAAAAACAGTTATGAACGGTCACTAAACAAACTGTGCTAAGTCATAGACTACACGTTTGCAAGGTTGTTTTTCTGAGGGAAGGCTAAGTAGAACAGGTTGTGTCTTTGCTGCTAAAGTTTGAAGGGGAAGAATGAAGGTAAAAGTAATCAACAACAGGAATTAGCCAATGAAAGAAATTCCTAGAAGAAGAAACCTCAAAATCAAACCTAGAAGAAGGCAACAGACAACCACCTACTTTAGCATTCTTGTCAAGTCTGTAGAGACTCTCAGCCATCCAGGTCATGGTTGTCCCAAAGGTGCTTTTACATGAGGCAACTGGACTTTCATGAGGCAACTGGACTTCCTTGTTTTTTTCTTTGAAGGCTTAAAAAAAAAAGACAGTCTAGTTGCCTCCTGAAAAAGAACCTTTGGGACAATCATGACCTGGATGATTGAGAATCTCTACAGACTTTTTAGCTATACAATTTGGGATTGCACCCTTTGAATGGTGTGGGAGTAGGAATGGATTTCCAGAGGAAAAATTGCAGACTACAGCAACTCAGGTGACCCTGAGGACACAGATAAACCTTCAAGTGCTTCAACTCTTCAAAAAGGATGCAAATGACCAGCTGTCTGCAAGGAATATAAATCCTTCCATTCCCCACTATCCTGTCAGAGCTAAAGAAACTGCTTGGATGAGAAGTGAAATGTCTTCAAAGGAAAAAAAAACCTCCAGTTGCCTCCTGAAAAAGCACCTTTGGGACACTCTGCCAAAGAAATTATATGGGCATAGATCAAACATTTAGCTAATATAAGTTAAATCTCAACAAGTCAGGACAATGCCAGCAACTGCCTGTGGAACATATAAATTCATATATAAAACATATAAATTCAGAAAGTTAACGAGCAGGCAAGCTAGTAATATTTGTTCAGCAAGATACAGCCCAAGCATAAAACCAACACATAAAACAGACACATTACACTATAGGAGGATCCTATCAGATCCTATAGGAAGAGACAGAGGCATTCTGAAAATAGAAGCAAAAAATATTCCTAAATAGCCAAAGAAGATATAAGTGGCTTTGGCTTCAAGAACAGATACAGAGGGGCCAGTCTGTTGAAGAAATAAAGTGAATATTAAACCTAGAAAGGAAAACCATGACAGATTTAGAAAAGCTCATCAAACAGGCTACTATGTTTCTGCAACGACAAAAAAACAACAACCCTGCGTTCTTAAAGCAACGTTTTGTCTGCGATGGTGCTCGACAAACCGAAGGGAACAGAGGAAGTAGGAAACCAAAACACCAGTGGACAAAATCGGAATATCCTCGGGGGCTACGATGCGATGGAGGGTATATTCGTCTGTTTTGATTCCCTGGATTCGGGCACTTCAGTTAGAGACAGATGAGAATTTGCTTGACAAGACATGGTTTATGCTAGCTCGGCAAGTCAGAGGCCGGCGCGGAGAGCAGCGGGAAGGGAGAAGGTGGGGAGAGGCCGCAGGTACCTTTGAAGGCAGGAGCGATCGAGGCGGTAGAAAAACACGGATTATTAAAAGCCAAGGCGCCACTTGCAGAACGGAGAAGGGAGGAAAAGGGGGGCGTGGCTCTGCTCGGATTCCCACCGTTCGAGAACCCCCGGAACGTTCCAACCACTTTCACTCTACGCGAGCGGCCTCTTCTCGTCTGGGGGCTGCGCCGGGGAGGGAGGGGAAAACTACAGAGGCTCCCCGGAGGAAAACACCCCCGTCCCGCAAATCCTGCTTGATTGCCGCCCCCTCCCACCACTCACAACCCCCAAGTTGCTGACTCTTCCGTAACTTCCAGCCTCCCCCATCTACAAATGCCAAAGCGCATGCGCATGCAAGAGACACAGGTTGACAGTGGGACGTTGGCTCGGCCACGGAGTCCTGTGGGTAGTTTTTAAGCGCAGGATGATGACGTACAGGGACTTTTTAAAAATGTAGAGGGGTCAATCATTGAACAGGAATACGTTATAGCGGGTTACGTTTTATTTTTTATTCATTTTATTTGGTTTGTCAATTGCTTACAAAATAATAGGTATAAGTAAAAACATAGTTATGAATACATGGATACATATAAGAAAAATAAAAAATAAAAGAAACAATAGGACAGGGACGGTAGGCGCTTTGGTGAGCTTATGCACGCCCCCTGCAGACTTCTTAGGGGTGAGGTCAATAGTAGACAGTCTAAGTTTGGGGGGTTTGGGGAAGAAACCACAGAGTCAGGTAGAGTATTCCAGACATTGACCACTCTGTTGTTGTAGTTGTATTTCCAGCAATCAAGTTTGGTGTGATTAACCTTCAGTTTGTATCTATTGTTTGCTCTTGTGTTGCTATGGTTGAAGCTGAAGTATTCATTGACAGGTAGGACATTGCAATGTATGACTTTATATACTATACTTAGATCGGACTGAAGGCAGTGTAGTTCTAGATTTTCTAGGTCTAGAATTTCAAGTCTGGTGGCATAAGGTATTCTGCAACGGGTAGAGGAGTGGAGAACTCTTCTTGTGAAATATTTCTGGATTTTCTCAACTGTGTTAATATCAGATACGTAATGTGGGTGCCAGACTGATGAGCTGTATTTGAGTATTGGTCTAGCAAATGTTTTGTATGCTCTAATTATTAGTGTAATATTACCAGAGAAAAAGCTATGTAAGATTAGGTTATGTAAGATTAGGTTACGTTGCAAGTTTCTTTTTGTTTCTAAATACTACGGAGAGATACTTTATTTTTATTTATTTATTTTATTTTGTCAAGTGATTATAAGATAACAGGTACAAGTATAAACATAGTTATGAATACATGAAATGGATATGAATAAGAAAAAAAAAGAAACAATAGAACAGGGGCGGTAGGCACGTTGGTGCTCTTATGCGGCTATTTGTTTTATGCTGATTCTCCAATGTTAAACTGACTCACCATTGCATTTTTATTTAAAACATGCATTTTGTTCATCTCACTATTCCCTTTTGAAGTAAACAATAGCGGGCAATGGGCAGAAATAATTATTTGTGCATTTTTATCATTAAAGCATCTAACGTAGCAGTATGTACTATTCTGCTGTGGGAAAGAATTCCGAATTGCAAAAATCGACAGACATAAGATTGCGGAGGCAAAGAGTTACGCAACTCCCTGTCGCTTTGCTGGTCATCTATTTATGTTTCTCTTTTTTGCCGTACAAAGTTAGTTGTTATTCAGGGTTAGTTTACCATTTTGCACACAGCCTTAGGGGCGATACTAGATTTTCAATTACAGAGCTATTTTTCATACCAAAAGGGGAAAGGCATAGCTGTGCAACACTTAGCCATAGTCAATCATAGATTACACAGTAGACCACAATTGACTGCATTCACTTTCATTAAGAAACGATTTCGGATTTACCATGGCAAACACCCTATCATTTCAGCTTAAGAGTTTCGCATGAATGCGTTGATGATGCGTATCAAACAACAATTGAACAACCTTACAAATAAGATCCCCTCCAAAGCTATAAATCAAGGGTCCTCAAACCTGGCAACTTTAAGACTTGTGGACTTCAACTCCCAGAATTCCTCAGCCAGCATAGCTGGCTGAGGAATTCTGGGAGTTGAAGT